AACTCACTCAATAGCCTGATCTCCCAGGCTGGAACCCAATTTTGAACTCACGTGAACTTGAGTCTGTCCCTAGAGGAGTCACATTTGGCTTGGCCCTTGTACCTACTCAGCCCTGCTGGGTGTCCTAAACTGATCCCCATCACCCCTAATTAATTTAATCACACCAGTGCCTGGGTCCCAGTTTTGATGGATATGTTTCTCTATGGCAAACTTAGCATTTTTGTGGGACTATGTTCTTTTTTTTTTTTTTTTTTAGACGGAGTTTCGCTCTTGTTACCCAGGCTGGAGTGCAATGCATGATCTCGGCTCACCGCAACCTCCGCCTCCTGGGTTCAGGCAATTCTCCTGCCTCAGACTCCTGAGTAGCTGGGATTACAGGCACGCGCCACCATGCCCAGCTAATTTTTTGTATTTTTAGTAGAGACGGGGTTTCACCACATTGACCAGGATGGTCTCGATCGCTTGACCTCGTGATCCACCCGCCTCGGCCTCCCAAAGTGCTGGGATTACAGGCGTGAGCCACCGCACCCAGCGGGCCTATGTTCTTAAGGGCAAAAGTCAATGAATGTCTTCCCCTCCAATTTTCTCCTGGAATTTTATACTCTATACATACAAATCTTTCTTCTTAAACTTTTCCAGGTGTTTTGTGTGTACTTCCTTCTCACTCCTTTGAGATTTGGTTGAATAATCTATGTTCCAAAGTAATCATTATTTAGTTCTACTTCTTTGAGCACTTCTAGATCATCTGCCTGCTTCTTACTTTCACTTTAGTCAATGGTCCAAAGAGTGAATCCCCAATGGTGGCATCTCAGTTTGATAAGTTAGAGGAAAATATTTCCATTTAGCACTCAAATCATACTATGGATTGCAAGGTTCACCAATGCAGAACACTAGTCTTGAGTAAAACACTAATGTAAGAAGCATAAATTTCAGGGTAGTTACAGTGTACATCTGAGAGTCTAGCTGGGCGCGAGGGCTCATACCTGTAATCCTAGCACTGGGCAGCCAAGGCAGATGAATCGCTTGAGCTCAGGAGTTCCAGACCAGTCTGAGCAACATGGTGAAGCTCCATCTTTATAAAATATACAAAAGTTAGGTGTGGTGGTGCACGCCTGTGTTCCCAGCTACTTGGGGAGCTGAGGTGGGAGGATCGCTTGAGCCCAGGAGGTCAGGGCTGCAGTGAGCCATGATTGCACCACTGCACTCCAGCCTGGAAGACAAAATGGGACCATGTCTTAAATAAATAAATAAATGAACAAACAAAAAAAAGTCTAGGGTAACGAGTTTAGACGCTATTTTAGCACAAATGAGGCCTAAATAAGAATTATCTACATGAATACTTAGGTTGAATAATTTATATTTAAACTAAAAATTGAAGGGAAGCCACATCCTCAGTGAGAGTACAGCATTCAATGTATAGATGAACAAAGACAAATTGATTAAGAATATACTTTAGGGGTCAGACAGTCCTGAGTTTAAATACTGAGTCTACCACATTGGTAGTTCTGTGACCTTGGGCAAGTTAACTGTTTTAATCCTCATGTTCCTCATCAGTAAAATGAGAATAGCCATAGAATATACATTAAAAGTCATTGTGAGTATTGAATAAAATAATCATGTCAGTCACATATACAAATATTCAATAAATGTTCACTGCTGCTATTTTGTTGTAGCTGTTGCTAATTGGAAGGTTTGGTAAAGATACTTTTTAGCAAAAAAGAGTTAAGGTTGATACTCAGGCTTTTTGTGTTGGTCAGTTTGCTTCGAAGTGTTTCTAGCCATTTCATACCGGTTCTCAGTACCCCAGAGATATCCTATTATATCTAAACATGTTAATATGAAAAGATCTGGCTGGGCACAGTGGCTCATGCCTGTAACCCCAGCACATTGGGAGGCTGAGGTGGACAGATCACTTAAGGTCTAGAGTTCAAGACCAGCCTGGGCAACATGGTGAAACCCCATCTCTATTAAAAATACAAAAATTAGCCAGCTGTGGTGGTGGGCACTTGTAATCCAGCTACTCTGAAGGCTTAAGCAGGAGAATCGCTTGAACTCGGGAGGGGGAACTTGTAGTGAGCCAAAATTGCACCATTGCACTCCAGCCTGGGCAACAAGAGTGAAACTCCATCTCAAAGAAAGAAAGAAAAAAAGAAAAGAAAGATCTTCAAAGTGAGGTATGTGTAATATGAACTAATTTATGTTTCAAAAGGTAATAGCCATGTATCTATGTGCATATATGAATGTACATATATGTATGTTATATTGTAATCCTATATATATGTGTGTGTGTGTCTGTGTGTGTGTGTGTGTGTGTGTGTGTGTGTGTGTGTGTATCTCAAAATGATAGTCAGTAAGACCTACTATTTTTCTGCATTTCCTAACTAAAGCCCAAAGAATGGGCTTTGGGCTTTAGTTAGGAAATGTCTATTGGACTATTTTCCACATTTCCGAACTAAAGCCCAATAAGAATGAAGAGACACTAAGCCTCTGCCCTTCGTATTCTAAGAGAACTATCAACAAGGACTAAGTGAAGTACCTCTCTCCAGGTTTGCAAAAAGGTAGGTCAACTGGCCCTGCTACCTCCAAGCAATTTCCCAGCCTCACCATCCTGCTTCTAGGTTTACTTAGAAGCCTGGGAAGAGGGCAAAGAGTATTTTTTTCACCCTCTCTGCTGTCAGGAATACCAAGGGAATCCTCTACGTAGAGGTGGTTTTAAGAAGAGACTGGCATCACATTCCTTGGTTGATATCCCCCTCTGGCTGGCTGAGTGAGGAACTGAGCCAGAAAGTGAAGTAGAGACAGATGGCAGGCCAGAGAGAGTAGGACAGGGGTGGAGGTGGGTAGCTGGGTTGTCCGCTCTACTCTTCTTCTGGCTCGATACCTGGAATAGAAACAAGTCGCCTTATTTGTCACTAACACCTTTCCCTTCTCTTTCTTTTAAACTCCAGAGCCTCCATTGTTGAGGGTAAGGAAATAAGATTAGAGTAAGAGGGCTTACTGTGCTGGGTGTGACTTTCATCCTCTGTCTGTTGGGTCTACCTGGTAAAGCTCAGATACCTTCTGAAGATCCATTTGATGTATGACATGCACATATACTTGCAACACCCTATCTCATGTTACAGGCCTCTCCCCTACTAAAATCTGACTCCAACTGAGGACAGTGGCTCACGCTTGTAATCCCAGCACTTTGAGAGGCTGAGGCAGATGGAATCCATAGTTTGTTCAGAGTGTCTTCACTATCCTTGTTACAACTTTATTGTCCATAAAGATTATAAACACTGTGCTTCAGATAAATTAAAAGAGCAAGAGGCCTCATAATGTAGTATAGAGAATGTGAGTTTTGGAGTCAGATTTTTTTTTTGAGATGGAGTTTCAAAAAAACTCTGGATTTCACAACCGCATTTCACCACTGCTGTAGTGCGGGGGTGAAATCTTGGCTCACTGCAACCTCTGCCTCCCAGTTTCAAGCAATTCTCCTATATCAGCCACCCAAGTAGCTTGGATTACAGGTTCACACCACCATGCCTGGCTAATTTTTGTATTTTTAGAATCAGGGTTTCACCTCGTTGGCCAGGCTGGTCTCAAAATCCATCTGCCTTAGCCTCCCAAAGTGCTGGGATTACAGGCATGAGACACTGTGCCGGTTGAATAAAAGGCATATAGATCTAAAAGAAAGAAGTAAAATCTGTTAACTGATTTGCAGATAATGTGATTACATAGAAAATTCTAAGGAATTAACAACAAAAGCCCGGGCATGGTGGCTCACGCCTGTAATCCAAGCACTTTGGAGGCCAAGGTGGGCAGATCACCTGAGGTCGGGAGTTCAAGACCAGCCTGACCAACATGGTGAAACCCCGTCTTAAAAAAAAAAAAAAAAAAATACAACAAAAAATTCCTAGGACTCAAAAGTGACCAATAAATTCCTCTTTAAGTAAATTTAAGTTGGGTCTCTATCACATGTAATTGAAAGAGTCCTTTATTTATTTACATATCCATCAACTAGTTATTGAATGCCTAAAATTTGCCAGGCAATATTCCAGGCAATAGATAACACCATCAAACAAAAGAGTTCTTACCCTCAACGGTGATGGTAAGAGATGCAAACAGTTTTTAAAAAGGTAAAAGAGAAAAAATGAAGCGTGCTACTTTTAAAAATGTGGTAAGGGAAGAGTTCTTTGTTAGGAAGTTTCTTTGTCAATCAGAGCACCCAGCTGTTGCTCGTTCCTCCTAGCCATAAAAACCCCACGCCCCAGGAAGTTGGTGCGACTTCCCTTGCCCCTTCCCCTGGACCATGGAACCTCGCCCGGGGAGTTAAATAAATTGGCATTTAATCTTCTTAAAAAAAAAAAAAAAAAATGAACACCTCATAAAATGAAGAATTTGGCCAGGAGGATATCTGAGAGAAGAGTTCCAGTCAGTGGGAACTGTGAATTCAGAGAGTCAGGGCTGAAACAGGCAAGTATGTTTGAGAAAAAGCAAGGAGGCTGGTGGCTGTACAGAGTAAGGCAGAGGAGGGGAAATAGGCTGTGGATCAGGGGTCTCTGTGCCAGATCTTACAGCTCGTTGCAGTTCACCTAAGGACTCGGATTTTACCTGGAGCGGGCAGAGAAGCACTGAAAGATTCGCGCAGGGGTGTAACCTGATAGCCTTTATGTTTAGTCCTGCCACTTCAACAGATAAACACAGCAACTGGTTTGCTAAGATTTAGGCGAACCCATAACCATCCTTCAACTTTTTCCTTTCAATTTCGAAACTCCTCTATGGCTTCCTCCATCTGTTCTTTCCTTCTTCTGAGAAGTGCCCTCTCTGCCCCTTTACAGAACTAACCACTTGAGGAACTCCTTGGACACATTCCTTCTTGTGAATATATTTGCTTTCCCTCAATAGCTTGTTGTGTATATGTAACTCATTACCTGTAAGAGAAATCTCTGGGAGTTGGGCAAACTTTCAGCGTAAACTTTAGCCTCGAGCTTGGCTCCACCCTCCAGAATGTCTCCACCAATCAAGAAAAATGCTTTGGGCCAGTCTTGCTCCTCCCGATTGTCAGCCTACTCCTCCCTCTTCTGTTGACTGCTATCCAAAAAAGCAGAAGAGAGAACTCAAGTTTCAGGGCTGCTCTACTAGGAAACGAGTCTGCCATCATCGCCAGCTGTGTTGGAATCTGTTAAGTCTAGTGAGTACCTCATCTCCTCTCCTGTGTAAGATTTCCTGAACTGGCACATCTGATTTTCAAGCAAAGATAATTAACAGGTGAACGAAACCAACAAATCAAAAATGCTGTCATTAAAGTCAAGTCTTGGGCAGCCAAGGTTTCTCTCAGAATTTCTCAGTTATGTGATACTATTAAGTGATGAGGGGTATGCACACAAAAAAGGCTATAAATATAGCAGCTGAGTTTTCATGTTGAGCCTTTTGGTGCTATTTGATTTTCTGAAAAACTATGTACATGTGTTAACTTGATAAAATTAAAAAAAAAAATTTTAATTGAGCCAGATGCAGTGGCTCACGCCTGTAATCCCAGCATTTTGGGAGGCTGAGGCACATGGATCACTTGAGGTCAGGAGTTTGAGACCAGTCTGGCCAACATGGTGAAACCCCCTCCCTACTAAAAATATAAAAATTAGCTGGGTGTGGTGGCATGTGCCTATAACCTCTGCTACTCGGGAAACTGAGACAGGAGAATCATTTGAACTTGGGAGGCGGAGGCTGCAGTGAGCTGAGATTGCACCACTGTACTTCAGCCTGGGTGACAGGGCAAGACTCCATCTCAAAAACAAACAAACAAACAAGGAAACAAAAAACGACCAGATAGTGGCTGAGTTTTTCACTGTTCTGTCTGCTTAACTTCCCACCTTGCTCAGTGACAGATGGGAATCCATCTTCTGCATCATCCAGTAAGTACGTAAATTACCTCTAGGAAACTTTGGGAAACAGATGCAAACAAACCTAAGAGCAGCCACATTTCTCCTTTAGGTGGTCACAGGCAGCTGCAAAAGTTCTGTATAGGAGGGGTTTCTGGCAGGGTCTGGTTGGGGTTGGAGAGAACAGCAGTGGCTTTACCTTGTGTTGTGGCTATGTATGTTAAACTACTATTATTACTTGGATACGTAGAGGGAAGAATGTTTATGGAGATGTGGGGAGGTCAAAGCCCCCTTGGCTGTATGGACAAAAAGCTTGCATTTCAGATGAGACCTTAAATACTTACAGAAGCCCATCTGACCAGGAGTGGTATTGTCTTTCTTAGAAGAGTTTTCCTTACCAATGTTTCTGTGGCTCAGTATAAAAATCTGGAGTCACCCTGGGAAAGTTATCTCAGCTCTTTTACCTACAGATAATTTTACAAACCTGTAAAACAAGTTGTAAAATGCTAAGATCAATGAAAAGGTAGGAAAAGAACTTTGTTGAGGAGAAGGCAATCTTATGGTTTTGACTAAGAGGATGCTGATGTTTGTTTTTTGGTAACAGAATGGTTAGGTTCATTTTAAGCTCCAAATGACTGGTCAATTTTCCTTTCAACATACATTTGAAGGATTCTGAATGTGGCGTAGAGTACTGTATGGGGGCTAGGGAAGAAATCATACTAAACTCTGATTCTATTCAGAATTAGCAAGCCGCGGCCGGTCGCGGTGGCTCACGCCTGTAATCCCAGCACTTTGGGAGGCCGAGGCGGGTGGATCACGAGGTCAAGAGATCGAGACCATCCTGGTCAACATGGTGAAACCCCGTCTCTACCAAAAATATAAAAAATTAGCTGGGCATGGTGGTGTGTGCCTGTAATCCCAGCTACTCAGGAGGCTGAGGCAGGAGAATTGCCTGAACCCGGGAGGCGGAGGTTGCGGTGAGCCGAGATCGCGTCATTGCACTCCAGCCTGGGTAACAAGAGCAAAACTCCATCTCAAAAAAAAAAAAAAAAAAGAATTATTAGCAAGCCCCAATCATATTAATATTTACATAATTATTTAATGTCTTCCTTAATAGTCCATAAACTTTATGGGAGCAAGACAAGCTATGTTTTGTTTACAGCTGTATTTTCAGCATTTAGTACAGGTCTAGCATATAGGAATTATTCAAGAAATACATGGTTAATGAATAAATGCACTGTCCAATTTAAATATGTGTGCATGTTTGTATATACTTGTCTGTAAAAGGGAAATAATAATATCTGCAAAGTGCTTGATAGTACAACCACTTGCCAGATCTCAGCAAAAATGTTACCCTCCCTAGAGAGACCTTCTAAAAGAGTGTCCCTTTTCTCCCATTACTCTCTTTTCTTGTGTAATATCACATTTATTTGTTGCTTTGTTTACTACGTGTGTCTTTCCATGAGAGCAAGGAGGACCTTGTCTCATTCCCTCTCACATCCTCTATGTCTGAAATAATTCATGGCTAGTGATTAAGAATTGTTGAATATATAAATGAATCATGCCAACCTACCAAGAATGAAGCACGAGATCTTAAGATATTTGTCCAAATTCCTGCCTCTTAATAGGATCAGAAATTTTTTTCTAATACTTCTCAACCATTTAAAAATACTATTCATTTTTACATCCAAGTAATGAAAGAATCAGGACATTCCTTTTGGAAGAAATAGTTTCAAAATTTTATCTAAATTGCAAAATTATACAAACAACTCAAGTGATCATTGATAAGGAATGGGTTTAAGAAATTACCGTGCAGCTCTTCACTAGAATGTCATGCAGCTGTTATAAGAAAAACCAGGACAGGGACAAATGTGGTGGCTCCCACCTGTAATCCTAGTGCTTTGGGAAGCTGTGTGCATGTTTGTGTATATTTCCTTGTCTGTAAATGGAAATAATAAATAACTGCAAAGTGCTTGGTACAGGAGATTGCTTGAGGCCAAGAGTTTGAGACCAGCCTGGGCAACATGGCAAGATCCCATCTCTAAAAAAAAATTTTAAAAACACTTACCTGGTTGTAGTGGCACACACCTGTAATCCCAAGTATTCTGGAGGCTGAGGCAGGAGGATCCTCCCAGAAGTTTGGGGCTGCAGTGAGCTATGCTCATGCTACTGCACTCCAATCTGGGTGACAGAGTGAGATCCTGTCTTTGCAGGGGGTTGGGGGAGGAAAAAATAAATAAATAAATATTTCATTTAAAAAAATGGTGCACTGGTATAGAAAGCCCTCAAAAAGTACATTGTTAAAAATGTTTTTAGTGGGCAGAATAGTGTGTATTCTGGGGTCTCTGCTGTTAAAATTGGTGGAGAAGAATCTATACTCATAACTTGGTTGAATGCACAAAAAGAAACCTTGAAAAGTAAGTAGAAATAATAATGGTTTCCTGGGGTGAGAGCAAACCAGGCAGCTTTGAAACTACAAGTGGGAGGCAGATTTTTTTTTAATGTTTTTTTTGAGCCATTTGAAGATATGAAAAAAAAATTTAAAAACATAGAGACAGACTGTTGATTGCTTAACTTCTTTCAGTTAAAATAAAACTGACGCTAATTCTGTTGAGGAGAGCAGCCAAAAGCATAGGCTGTGACTTGCCAGCAAACGGCAGGGACCAGTAGTTCCCTCCCTACCTAATCCCCAATGCCAAACAGAATGGCATTGTTGGACTTGAGGTCTTAACCTACAGGGAAACTGGGATTCAGAGTGATTTTACTTCTGTTCTTAAGAGCAGCCTTTTCTCTTAAAGCCTGTCAAGAAATTTTTGTTAATACTTCCCCTCCCATGGAATATATAGGCAAGAGAACCCTAGACAACAGTTTACTAAACTGGACCTTAGAAAAATCTTATCTTGGAAAGCCTCCCCTTCAGTTTTCCTGTATTTTAATGTTTCCTATCAATCTAGTTCTTATTTACTATTAATATAGATTAGCATTGTCCAAAAGAATGTTCTACAACAAAAGAAATGTTTCATGTCTGTACTAACCTATATACAATAGCCACTGGCCACATGAGGATATTAACCACTTGAAATGTAGCTAGTGTGACTGATGAACTAATTTTAAAATTTATTTAATTCAATTTTTTGAAAAACTGCCACATGTAGACAGCGCAGAATTCACATAAATCTGGTTAAAGCAGTAAAGGCACATTTCAGGTCTATCCCTTCTGAAAAAGCCATTTATTCATTCAACAAACATATGCCAAGTACACACTATGGGCCAAATGCTACTATAATTTCAAGGGATAGTAGCATGAATGTAACAGAAAAGGCCCCTGCTCTGGTAAAACTTATATCACAGTGGCCAGGTGCAGTGGCTCACGCCTGTAATTCCAGCACTTTGGGAGACCGAGGTGGGTAGATCACAAGGTCAGGCATTCAAGACTAGCCTGGCCAACATAGTGAAACCCCATCTCTACTAAAAAGACCAAAAATTAGGTGGGTGCCTGTAATCCCAGCTACTCAGGAGATGGAGGCAGGAGAATTGCTTGAACCTGGGAGGCAGAGGTTGCAGTGAGCCAAGATCATGCCACTGCACTCCAGTTCAGGCAACATTGCAAGACTCTATCTCAAAAAAAAAAAAAAAAAAAGAACTTACATCACACTGCAAAGATCAGCAAACTGCAGCCCATGGGTCAAATCCAGCCCTCTGCCTGTTTTTGTATAGCCTTTGAACTAAGAATGGTTTTTAAATTTTTTAATGGTTGAAAAAATAACCAAAAGAGGAATACTAATTCATGACCCATGAAAATTAAATGAAATTCTAGTTTCAGTACCCATAAATAAGGTTTTATTGGAACACAGCCATGCCAAAATTTATCTATGTACTGTCAATGGTTGCATTCTCAAGGGCAGACTTAAATACGTGCAGCAGAGACCATATGGCCCACAAAGCCTCAAATATTTACTATCTGGCCCTTTACAGAAAAAGTTTGCTGACCCATATTCTAATAGAGAGTAATATGCTTGGCACCATGATCAGCATTTCACATGCATTATCACATTCAGTCTTCAGGATAAATCTCTGATGGTGATTTTGTTAGTCGCTCCATTGGTAAAATGTGAAACTGAGGTTCAGAGTGATTAATAATTCAAATAAGGTCACACAGTTCATAAGAGGCAAAACTGGGAGACAGTATCACATGACTATCTGGCTCAGTAGCCAATATATTTAGCCATCATACTATGGACTGGTGCTTTTCATACTTGAATGTAAATACCAGTTAACTGGGATCTTGTTAAAATGTCAACATCTACTAATTCAGTAGATCTGGAGTGGGGCCTAATAATGTGCACTTCTAACAAGCTTCCAGGTGATAATGATGATAATGCTGGTCCACAAATCACAGCCTCTAAATCAGTGATTCTCAACTATGACTGTTGCCCATTAAAATCTTCTGAGGAAACTTAAAAAATATAGGAATGGGCAAAGAGCCCACTCCGAAATATTCTGATTTAATTGATACAAGACCTAGGCATCAGAGTTTGTTTTTAAACAAAGTTTTCTTGGTGATTCAAATGTTCAGCTGAACTGCGAACCACCGCTCTATTGAAATCCTGTTGAATGATAGTAAAAACATCCAAATGGGAATCCAAAGACCAGAGTTCTAGTTCTAACTCTGGTATGACAGAATGAAGCAGGTTGTTTCCCTTCTCTGGGCCTCCAGTTTTCTTTGCAGGTGAAAAATGAAAAAGCTGGAACCAGATGGTCTCAGAGGGCTCAAGATCACTGACTTGTCATGTCTTCACACAAACAAATGAGAGGGGCAGAAGTACCCAGGTTTCCTGATGCACTGGGTATATCAACATGATATCCAAACACTGGTCCATTTAGAGTAAAACTGCAATAATTGCAGATGTCAGCTAAACTGTCCATTTAGCTGACATCTGCAATTATGTATTGTTTTGGCAATGTATCAACACAGAAATGTTTCCACATAGCCAGACTGCTTTACACAGAACTGTAATCAGAATGATGATTTAATGATTATGAGAGTAATACATATTACATTATAGGAAATTTGGAAAATTACAGGAAGTATAATGAGGAGAACCTCACTCATAATCCCTAGAACTGTATTTTTAACAGCCTCAACCAAATAAATAACACTGTGATCAAATGATTTCCCACAGAAGCAGGTGATGGCCCAGAGGGGCCTCCCCCACGAAAGTCTTAAATGTTAAAGCCCCGTTATTACATCTCCAGTAAATTCAGCTCCAAGCCTGGACTTGAAAGTAGTGTGGGCCCCTATTGAGAACATGGGAACTACAGCCTATAAACTACACAGTTTATAAACTGTGACAGTGCTTTCATGTCTAATTGGTACTACTATTGGGCTACTGTCGGTTGCTTCATCTACAGAGTATCCACTTTGAAAAACGTTCCTTAAAATTTCTGCCCTACTTTGAAATCCGCAGGTTAAAGACATCAGACAAAAAGGCTTAGCCCTTTGCTTTCAGTGAGATTAAGAGGGTGACCCAGATTTTTACTTCTTTGGAAATGCATATAGGAGTTAATAGGGCACAGTATTCAGGAGAATGGGCTAGGACCTGATAGTTCTGGGTTCCAATCCAACCAATGCCTCTTACAAATAATTTTCTCAATCTGTAAACAGAGATGATAATAGTACCCACTTCACAGGGTTTCTCTGAGGATTTAATGATGAAGTGTATATAAAACACTGAGCACAGTTTTTAGAACACAGAATGTACTCAGAAAATGGTACTATCATGATGATTATCAATAATAACAAAACTTAGCCACTTTGGGGTATGGCTACCTTCAGGGACAGAAACAAATATATGTCCTTTTTGCTTGTCTTTTAGATGGACTGGTCTCTGTGCAAATCCTGAGTGCTAAAAGATCCAACAAAACTGTTGCTAGCTCGTGTCACCATGAAGACGCTACGTCATGCCAAGTGTTTACAGCGCCTACCAATTTCTGGTTCTGTGAGGGCACTGCATAAAGAAAATAGAACAGCAACCCCTCATAATTTCTCCAATTATGAATCCATGAAACAGGACTTCAAACTGGAGATTCCAGAGTATTTCAACTTTGCTAACGATGTCCTGGACCAATGGACTGATATCGAAAAGGTATGGGGCAAGGGCCAGTCAGACCAGTTTCTCAACTGGGAGTAATTTTACCTCTAGGTAACAACTCTAATGTCTGGAAATACTTTTGTTGCTGTGACAGGGGTGGAGGCAGTTTCTACCGACATCTAACAGGTAAAAGCCAGGGATTCTGCTAAATATCCTGTAATGCACAGAGCAGCCCCCAAAACAAAGAATTCTTTGACCCAAAATGTCAAAAGTTCCATGGTTAGTTGAGAGACCCTGGATTACATAAATGTAGAATTCTAGGTTGACTTTAAAAAAACAAAAACAAAAAGGAGAAGCGTGTAAAGTAATTCCAGGAGTCAGAAATGGTAGAAAAGAAGGCACAGATAAATCATTGAGGAAAATGTAAAGGAATGCAACAATTCTCACTTATTGTAAAGAAAAATGATCAGGCTAAATGGGAAATGATGTGGGCCAAAAGAAACGACATGGCTTCCACCATCTAGAAATAAGGACCCCAGAGTTATTATTTTTTCTGTTATTTTTAGTTACATGATAATTATACATACTTATGGGGTACAGAGATGTTTTTTTGATACATGTATAAAATGTGTAGTGATCAAATCAGAGTAATTAGGCTACCCATCATCTCAAACATGCATTATTTCTTTGTGCTGGGAGCATTCAAAATCCTCTCTCCTGGCTTTTTGAACATACACAAATTATTCTTAACTGTATTCACCCTACAGTGCTAGAGAACACTAGAACTTATTCCTCCCATTTAGCTATAATTTTGCATCTGTTAACCAACTTCTTCCTATCCTCCTCTCCCCACTACCCTTCTCAGCCTCTAAAAGCCACAATTCCACTCTCAACTTTTATGAGCTTTTTTTTTTTTTTTGAGACACAATTTCAAGCTGGAGTGCAGTGGTATAATCTCAGCTCGCTGCAACCTCAGCCTCACAGGTTCCAGAGATTCTTGTGTCTCAGCCTTCCAAGCACCCAAAACTACAGGCACCTGCCACCACACCGGCTAATTTTTGTATTTTAAATAGAGACAAGGTTTTCCCATGTTGGCCAGGCTGGCCTTGAACGCCTGGTCTCAAGTGATCTGCCCACCTCAGCCTCCCAAAGTGCTGGGATTATAGATCTGAGCCACCCACTGTGCCTGGCCAAGGTCTTTTTTTTTTTTTTTTTTTTAAGAGACAGAGTCTTGCTCTGTTGCCCAGGCTGAAGTTCAGTGAAGCTCTTTTTTTTTTTTTTTTAAGCTCTCACATATGAGTAACAACATGTGGCATTTATCTTTCCATGTCTGACTTGTTTCACTTAACATAATGTCCTCCAAGTTCATACATGTTGCCATAAACAACAGAATTTCATTCTTTTTTATGGCTGAATAGTATTGCACTGTGCAATACTATACCATGTTTTCTTTATCCATTCATCTGTTGATGGACATTTAAGTTGATTCCTTATCTTGGCTTTTATGTACAGTGCTACAATAAACATGGCAGTGCAACTATCTCTTCAATATACTGATTTTCTTTCCTTTGAAAAAATATCCAGTGGTGAGATTGCTAGATCATATGGTAGTTCTATTTTTAGTTTTTTGAGAAGCCTCTATATTGTTTTCTGCAATGGCTATAGTAATTTATATTCTCACCAATAGTGTTTAAGAGTTCCCTTTTCTCCACATCCTCTCAAGCATTTATCTTTTGTCTTTTTGATAATAGCCATTCTAACTGGCGTAACATGATATCTCATTGTGGTTTTGATTGGAATTACCCTGATTAATGATGTTGAGCATTTTTTCATATTCTTGCTGCCAGTTAGTATGTTTTTTGAAAAATGTCTATTTAGATCCTATGTCCATTTTTAATTGAATTGTTTGTGGGTTTTTATTTATTTATTTATTTATTTATTTATTTACTGCTGTTGAGTTATTCACATTCCCTGTATATTCTGGATATTAGTTCCTTGTCAGACGAATAGTTCACAGATATTTTCTCCCATTCTACATCTTGTCTCTTCTCTCTGTTGATTGCTTCCTTTACTGATCAGAAGCTTTTTAGTTTGATATAGTCCCATTTGTGTGTTTTTGTTGCCTATTTTCATATCCTTATCCCTAAAATATCTGCTAGGGGAGTCTCAGAGACTACTCTGGCTCAGAAGGCTGTCCGATTTCATTAAATTTATTATAAAACTTTTTTAAAATAAAAAAATTAAAATTAAAAACAATAAAATATTTGCCTAGACCAATGACTTGAAGCATTTACACTGTTTTCATCAGTTGTTTTATAGTTTTGAGTCTTACGTTTAAGTCTGTAATCCAGTTTGAATTGATTTTTGTATATGGTGAGAGATAGGGCTCTAGTTTTAGTCTACTGCATGTGGATACCGCTTTTCCTCGCATCATGTACTGAAGAGGATATCCTTTCCTCAGTGTATATTCTTGGCATCTTTGTTGAAAATCTGTTGAATGTAAACGTGTGGGTTTATTTCTGGGTTCTCTATTCTGTTTCATTGGTCTATGTGTCTGTTTTTATGCCAGTACCATGCTATTTTGGTTACTATAGCTCTATAGTATGATTTGAAGTTAAAAAGTGTGGTGTCTTTATCTAGTTTCGGTAGAATGCCCTAGGAAGAATTCTTCTTCCTTCTTCAGTTTTTAAAAAGAGTTTGAGAAGAATTAGTGTTAAGGCTGGGCACAGTGGCTCATGCCAGCAATCCCAGCACTTTGGGAGGCTGAGGCAGGTGGATCACCTGAGGTCAGGAGTTCATGACCAGTCTGGCCAACATGGTGAAACCTTTTCTTTACTAAAAATGCAAAAATTAGCTGGGTATGGTGGCGCACACCTATAATCTCAGCTACTCAGGAGGCTGAGGCAGGAGAATCACTTGAACCTGGGAGGTGGAGGTTGCAGTGAGTCAAGATTGTGCCACTGCACTCCAGCCTAGGAAACAAGAGTAAGACTTGATCTCAAAAAACAAAAACAAAAACAAAAACAAAACAGTGTTAGTTCTTATTTAAAAGTTCAGTAAAATTCAGCAGTAAAGCCATCCAGTTCTGGGCTTTTTATTACTGATTCAATCTCATTACACATTATTGGTCTGTTCAGGTTTTCTATTTCTTCATTGTTTAATCTTGGTAGGTTATGTGTGTCTAGGAATTTATCTATTTCCTCTATATTTTCCAATTTGTTGGCAGATAGTTGTTCATAATAGTCTTTAATGGTTTTATTTATTTGGATCTTTTTTTTTTTTCGTAATCTAGCTATAAATTTGTCTATTTTGTTTTTCTTCAAAAAAATTTTGTTTTGTTGATCTTTTATAATTTTTGCCTCAATTTCATTTGTTTCTGTTCTGATCTTTACTATTTCTTTCCTTCTACTAGTTTTCAATTTAGTTTGTTCTTGCTTTTCTGGTTCCTTGAGGTGCATTCTCAGATGTTTTATTTGAAATCTTTCTGCTTTTCTGATATAGGTGTTTATGGCTATAAACTTCCCTCTTCACACTCTATTTGCATTATCTCATTGATTTTGATATGTTTCCATTTTCATTATTTTCAAGAAATTTTTTGCTTTCCTTCTTTTTGTCATTGACTCACTGGTCATTCAGTAGCATGCTGTTTAATTTCCCTGTATGTGTACACTTTCCAAAGTTCCTCTTGTTGTTGATTTCTAATTTTATTCCACTGTAGTCTAAGAACATATTTGGTATGATTTCAGTTTTTAAGAATTTGTTGAAATTTGTTTTGTGCCCTAAAATATGGTCTATTCTGGAGAATGTGCCATGTGCTGATGAGAAGAATGTGTATTCTGTAGCTGTTGGATGAAATGTATAAATATCTGTTAGGTCCATTTGGTTCAAAGTGCAGTTTAAATCCAATGTTTCTTTGTTGATTTTCTGTCTAGATGATCCATCTAATGCTGAGAGTGGAGTGTTAAAGTTGCAAATATTGTTGTGTTGGAATCTATCTATCTGTTTACATCTAACGATATTTGCTTTACATATCTGGGTGTGCTGATGTTGGGTGCATATATATTTACAATTGTTATATCCTCTTGCCGAATTGATCTATTTATCATTATATAACGACCCTCTTTGCCTCTTTTTATGTTTTCTGACTTAAAGTGTATTTCACGTGATATAAGCATAGCTATTCCTACACACTTTTGGTTTCTATTTGTTTGAAATACTATTTTCTATCTATCTATCTATATTTTTTTGAGACAGAGTCTCACTCTGTCACCAGTCTGGAGTGCAGTGGTGCAATATTGGCTCACTGCACCCTCCACCTCCCAGGTTCAAGCGATTCTTCTGCCTCGGCCTCCCAAGTAGCTGGGACTATAGGCACGCACCACCATGCCCAGCTAATTTTTGTATTTTTAGTAGAGACAGGGTTTCACCATGTTGGCCAGAATGGTCTCGCTCTCTTGACCTCATGATCCAGCCACCTCAGCCTCCCAAAGTGCTGGGATTACAGGCATGAGCCACCGTGCCCAGCCCTATCTACGTGTATCTTTACAGGTGAAGTGAGTTTCTTATAGGCAGCCTATAGTTGGGTCTTGTTTTTTATCCATTCCGTCAGTCCACACAGTCCATATCTTTTATTTGGGGAATTTAAACTGTTTACATTCAAGATTGTTATTGATAGGTGTTATTTTGTTCACTGTGAGGATGCCAGCAGTGGTTCCAGTGGGTCCCAGGCAGGATGATCCTTAGGCTCCCAGAAAGTGTGCATAGGCACTGGCAGTAGTGGAGGTTAAGACTCAAGTGGGTCAGTCCTCAGTCCTTTGGCAGTGCACATGGGTACTTGTAGTGGTGGACTGCATGGGCCAGTCCTTTGGTCCCCAGATGGCACATGCAGGCACAAAGTGGCTCTGCCACTAGAGGGGGCAAGATCATGTTCATGGCAGCAGGCTCAGGAAGGCTGCTCTCAGGCTCTGGGGGGTGTGCTTCAGTGCCTTACATTAGGGCGCAGCCTCCCTGATGTGCTGGACTTTCTGTTCCATGGGGTAGAGTGCTGTGTGTAGGCTCGGGTGCCAGTGGCCTGGGTATGTCACTGGAACCACCTGGTGTTGCAGTGCTGTAGCCCTCTAGGTGAATGTGTGGGGATGTCAGAAGGGCCTTAGGGATGTGGACATGCAGGGACTATTGGCCCCAAGGCAAGATGGTGGTAGCTCTGTTTCTAAAATTATGTAGCAGCTTGGTTCCTGGGGTTTGTGGCACAGGGACCTAGTATGGTATGAATTTCCTCTCTAGAACAATATTATACTATCCTAGCATACTATACTGTATAGCTTTTACTAGGCTCAGGACCTGTGAGGGCTGAGGGGCTCTCCTGTAGGTAGGATTTCAGGCATCTGTGGTGGGAATGTGGGCTGCTGAGGATCTTCCATTTATATTTTCCTGACCATATGGAGTCCCTCTTGGCTCTGAGTTGATCCTGGCCAGCTGCTGGTCTTCCCCATTTATGCTTTCATCCTAGTTTTCAGGTCTTGGAGAGTTTTATCACTTCCTTGCTAAATTCCAGTGTTCTCCCTTTGACATTCTATTTGTCATGTGGTTATCTGCTCACTGTTTTGGTCCTTCTGATAGGAGGTGAGTACTGGGCATCTTTAGTCATCCATCTTGATAATGTCTCTCCTAGAGATATTTCCCAATACTCCATTTATGTTCTAACTAATGACTTGTGAATTTTCTTCAGCTAATATATTCCACTAAGTCAGCTGACCCAGAAGTTAGCTGTATAACAACCTTTAAATTCATGACTGGTTTGTCTTTCCTCAGGCTGGAAAGAAACCTTCAAATCCAGCCTTCTGGTGGATCAATGGAAAAGGAAAAGAGGTGAAATGGAGTTTTGAGGAACTGGGATCTCTGTCTAGAAAACTTGCCAATGTACTTTCAGAAGCTTGTTCCCTACAAAGAGGAGATCGAGTAATTTTGATTCTGCCCAGGGTCCCAGAGTGGTGGCTTACAAATGTGGCCTGTCTGCGAACAGGTTAGTAATGTTTGCTTTCTGATCATATTTAAACTAAGTTGGATGGGAGATTTTCCTAAATAATCATAATATATTTATTTTGGTATGGGCTTATTGTCAAAAAATATCTTTAAATGATATAAAAGTGTTAAGTCATGGTAGGCTAATTCCTTATCCCTAGGTGGAACATCTTTAAAGGATAACCTTAGAGTTACAGCCTCACAAAAATTGTTGTGTTGCCCTGATTAGAAAGAAAAGATATTCTACAGAACCTGGTTCTGCCTCCTGGTTGTTGGTTTCTTGAAGAACCCTGCTGGAGAGAACTGGTCCTTTCCAAAGTAAAATGATGAGCCAGTGTCAAGAGTCCAGGAATGGCAGATATATGTTCCCCAATCTTGCCTGCTGTGTCACCTGGGAAGAGTAAAACCTATTGTGAAGTGAATAACCTCCATCCCTGTCTTAAGGGTCTGGAACCTAAGGGTGGTGGGGCCCAGGAGGCAGATTACATATTTTTGAGAATCCATTTATCCTTTGAGAAAATTATATCCAAAGCTTACTGAGCACTGTTCTAAGTTCTTTACATGTTTTAACTCATTTAATCCTCTAATTATCCTATAAGGGAAGTATTATTATTATAATATCATTTTACAGATGCAGAACCTGAAGCTCAGAGAGGTAAAGTGGCTTGTCCAAGTCCCAGCTATAAGTGTGTCTGGCTCCAGGACACTCTTAATCATTATACTTTATCTTACAGTATAATATACAACCAGCAGGAATAGAACCACAGAAAAGACGAATGCCTCCACCCTTTCTTTTGGAAAGAAATTATAAAGCAATCATGTACATTTTAAGAGGCACTAAGTTGAAGTGGTCAAGTCCACAGTTCTGGAGTCAGGCTACAGGGTTCATTCCTGCACTGTCACTTACTACTTAGGTAATATCTTGGGCAAGTGAGTCATAGGTTTGTTTTTTTTTTTTAAGTTTTTTTTTGAGGGGGGACTGAATGAGTTAAAACATATAATAAATATTCAATAAACATTGGGTAATATTACTTTTCAATCAAAACTTTCTTCAAGCCCAATGTTACGGATGGTCTTCAAATAAAGAATAATTATCCAGTATTGAATAGGCTTTCATGTTAGGCCAAAAGGATCATAGATTCTGAAATACCTTGAAAGGCAAAAGCAGATAAATGGAAGTAAGACAAATAGATACCTTGCTCATAAACTGACTAACTCATTCTGAGAAATACAGAATGTATGGATGTTATCTACACTACTCTAACTAACATAATGAAAAATAACCTTTCTTCTAAACACCATTTCTTTTCTGCTCCTTTAGGGACAGTTTTAATTCCAGGAACCACTCAGCTGACCCAGAAAGACATTCTCTACAGACTACAATCTTCAAAAGCAAAGTGCATTATCACCAATGATATTTTAGCCCCAGCAATAGATGCCATTGCATCCAAATGTGAAAATCTGCACTCCAAGCTGATTGTGTCACAGAATTCCAGAGAGGGATGGGGAAACCTCAAGGAGATGATGAAGTGAGTAGCCATGCTTGTTGTAGAACAGCTTCGCAAAAGGAAAGGCAACAATAAAAAGATGTTCAACCCAGTAGTGATTAGAAAAATGCAAATTAAAACAATAGGCAAGGGCCGGGCGCAGTGGCTCAAGCCTGTAATCCCAGCACTTTGGGAGGCCGAGGCGGGTGGATCACAAGGTCAAGAGATCGAGACCATCCTGGTCAACATGGTGAAACTCCGTCTCTACTAAAAATACAAAAAATTAGCTGGGCATGGTGGCAACGTGCCTGTAATCCCAGCTACTCAGGAGGCTGAGGCAGGAGAATTGCCTGAACCCAGGAGGCGGAGGTTGTGGTGAGCCGAGATCACGCCATTGCACTCCAGCCTGGGTAACAAGAGCGAAACTCCGTCTCAAAAAAAAAAAAAAAAAAAAACAATAGGCAAAGGAAACAATTGGTAGTTATTGCTGTACTAATAGTGCGAAACTCTGAGATGGTAAGGAGCTTGGAGTGCTTTCTGCAGGTTGGGATCCCCTGAGATGGAGATTGGTGTATAAGAAGTTTATTAAGGAGTTCTCTTGGTATTAACACCTGTGAAGGAAGGGTAAGAATGTAGGACTGGGTAGAGAAAGAAATTTATTTGCGATGTATTCCTTGCAAAGCCTTCAGTCAACCCACTGGAACCTCTGAAGGTTGAACAGCTCCCAAAGCTGTTCCCAGCTAAGGCAATAGGTCCTGGCCTTTATATACCCACATTGGTCAGTAATTATGTGGTCTGTCCCTAGGAGGCAAGACCTTTAACAAGGCAGCTCTCTTCAGTCAAGGCATTCTCTAAAGAGGGCTCCCAGCTCCTGTGGGGATTAAATCCTTCATTCCTGCAGAAGGATCTTGCAAGTGCATCACAGCATCATAGAGCTGTTATGATCTCCCAGGGAAATTGATCACAGTCAGTCCTTCAGTGTTGGCTATGCCATTCCCTTGCTGACAGCCAACACTGGTATCAAGTTAAAATAAGAAAAATACTTAATGTTAATCAGTGAAATTATAAAACTGAATTTCACTGATGTTCTAGCCTAGCTTGTGGGGCTTCCATGGGTTACTTGGAACTCTTGCCAAGTACTGGTTATGACCTAGAATTGAGCTGGTAGCAAAGTCCTTCACTAGAATGAGCTTCCTACCTTTACTCAAGGATTTGGGAGCATGCTTGCAACTATAGACTTGTTCCTATAACATTTATAATTGCTAATATTGAGTTCTTGCCAAAGGCCAAGTACTGGTCTAATAAAAATAATGTTGTAATTGCAATCATAGCTTATATTGATATGGTTATGTACCAGAAACTATTTTAAGGACTTCAGATATATTACCTCATTAAAACGTCCCAGCAACCTAGATACTATAATTACACAGATAAATAAGGTCAAATGCTAGTACCTAGCAGAGCTAAGTTTCAAACCCAGGCAGTATGGTTGCTGAGCCTACATTCCTCACTTCTGTATGTACTGCTTCTAGTAAGAGATCAGTAAGATAACTCTGCCTCAGGTTTTCAGGGCAACTGTGTTGATAACAGAAGTGATAGGAACATGACTATAAATACTATTTTTAATTAATTCAGATAATTATGGAATCATAGACTGAACATTTGGTGTAGCTCTGCCAGGTTTTGAAAACAGCTTTTCAGCCGGGTACAGTGGCTGATGCTTGTAAATCACCACTTTAGGAGGCTGAGGTGGGATGATGGTTTGAGTCCAGGAGTTCAAGACCAGCCTGGAAAACAGAGTGAAACCTCCTCTCTACATAAATAAAAATAATTATATATAGTGAAGCCTGTTCTCTACATAAATAAAAATAATCAGCCAGGTGTAGTGATGCATGCCTGTAGTCCCAGCTACTCGGAAGGCTGAGGTAGATCGCTTAAAGCCAGGAGGTTGAGCCACTGCATGCCAGCCTGGGTGAGAGAGAGAGAGAGACAGAGAGAGAGAGAGAGAGAGAGAGAGAGAGAGAGAGAGGTTGCCTCAAAAAAAAAAAAAAACAAAAAAACAAAAAAAAACAAAGTAAGAGCTTTTCTATATTTCTTATGAATGGCCTGGTTGTTTCCACTCATTCTCATATACTTGATATGTATGCGTGCAGCTGCCCTAATGTGTGACTTGTATAGAAGTCTGATTATCCTTTGGAACTACAAGGTTTTCTTTCTCTTTAACTGGAATTCTTTCTTCCCTGGATGGATGCTTTAGATCCTGTTTAGCCTTATTGTTTACTATATCCAGAACTATGTAGACACTCTTGTGGGAAACAGAAAAACCACCCTTTCATAGTTGGCAGGTTTTTTTTTTTAGACAAAGTCTTGCTCTGTCGCCCAGGCTGGAGTGCAGTGGCTCAATCTTGGCTCACTGCAACCTCCGCCTCCTAGTTCAAGCGGTTCTCCTGCCTCAGCTTCCCAAGTAGCTGGGATTACAGGTGTGTGCCACTGTGCCTGGCGAATTTTTGTATTTTTAGTAGAAACAGGATTTCCCCATGTTGGCCAGGCTGGTCTTGAACTCCTGACCTCAGGTGATCCACCCACCTTGGCCTCCCAAAGTGCTGGGATTACAGGCGTGAGCCACTATACCTAGACTCAGCAAACATTTTCTGTAAAAGGGGCAGAGAATAAATACTTAAGGCCTTGCAGGCCATATTGTCAGTCTCATCACAGCTACTCAACTCTGCCATTGTAGTATGAAAGCAACCACACATAATACATCAATGAATGGGCAATAACATTTACAGAAACAAGAGGCAGGCCAGATTTTGAGTACAAGCTACAGTAGGCTGTAGTTTGTTGAGTCATCAGTCCCCATGACTTTTACTAATATGTATTGTATTAACATACCTATTTTTAAAAATCACATTTTAAAGCATCCACAGGGGAGGGGAGGGAGAAATTCTTCCTTATCCATGACTGCAAGATCACAGACTCCTCACTCTGCTGGAGGTATGATAAAAATGCTTCAATCCTTCCTTATCATAGAATAAATAGCTAGGAAAGCAGCTATTATAAATGGCCTTTTGAGGACAAAGTTTTGATTCTGGAAAGCACCTAAACGGAAGAGAAAGTGATGGCGTTTACCTTATAATTCAAGCTAAGCCACTGGCACCTGATTCGTGACATGAAGAGGTTCAAGGGGATAGCTTCTCAAATCTTTTTCAGTGGTAACCGTCTGTGAAGCTGTGTTTAACATGCAGTCATTATAGTTTTTCCCTTGCAGACATGCCAGTGACAGCCACATCTGTGTGAAGACAAAACACAATGAGATGATGGCCATTTTCTTTACTAGTGGAACAAGTGGATCTCCGAAAATGACTGGACACACCCACAGCAGTTTCGGTTTAGGATTATCTGTAAATGGACGGTATACTTCCACAGAAGTGCAGCTTTAAGTGTCAAAACTGCAAAAATGATGACTTACGTACTGGTCTTTTTTTGTCGGGGGAGGGTGGGGGACAGAGTTTTGCTCGTTTCCCAGGCTGGAGTGCAACGGCACAATCTCAGCTCACTGTAACATCTGCCTCCCAGGTTCAAGCAAGTCTCCTGCCTCAGCCTCCTAAATAGCTGGGATTACAGGCAGGTGCCACCATGACCAGCTAATTTTTTGTGTTTTTAGTAGAGATGGGGTTTCTCCATGTTGGTTAGTCTGGTCTTGAGCTTCCAACCTCAGGTGAGTTGCCCGCCTTGGCCTCCCAAAGTCCTAGGATTACAGGCATGAGCCTGCGCGCCTGGCCATGTACTGGTCCTTTTTTAAATTTTTTTAATTTTTATTTTTATTTATTTATTTTTTTTGAGGCGGAGTTTCACTCGTTACCCAGGCTGGAGTGCAATGGCACGATCTCGGCTCACTGCAACCTCCGCCTCCTGGGTTCAGGCAATTCTCCTGCCTCAGCCTCCTGAGTAGCTGGGATTACAGGCACGTGCCACCATGCCCAGCTAATTTTTTGTATTTTTAGTAGAGATGGGGTTTCACCATGTTGACCAGGATGGTCTCGATCTCTTGACCTCGTGATCCACCCGCCTTGGCCTCCCAAAGTGCTGGGATTACAGGCATGAGCCACCGTGCCCGGCCGTACTGGTCTTTTGTATTTGCTTTCCTATGTACATCAGGGATACTCTTTGTTTCCCCAGGTTCTGGCTAGATTTGACACCCTCAGACGTGATGTGGAATACCTCAGATACGGGCTGGGCAAAGTCTGCATGGAGTAGTGTTTTTTCTCCATGGATCCAGGGAGCATGTGTATTCGCACACTATTTACCCCGTTTTGAGCCAACTTCTATTTTGCAAGTAAGCCAGAGCACAAGGAGGTCAATATTTAGAAGTGCATTAAGCAGTATGGCTGACAGAACTGATGAATAAAGCAACTTTCAGAGATCAGAGTAGACAATATGATTTAAGATATGTCATATCCAGAAAGTCAATAAGCCTGAAAAGATGCAGTTGGCCCCCTCTATATCCACAGGTTGTGCATCCTCTGATTCTGCCAGCCACATAGTGAAAGTATTTGGCTTTCAAAAAACAAAAAACAAAATACAACAATTAAAAAAATACCAAAAAAAAAATACCATGTAATAAATATTTACATAGCATTTACATTGTTTTAGGCAGTATAAGTAATCTACAGATGATTTAAAGTATACGGGAGGATATACATAGGTTATATGCAAATACCACACCATTTTATATAAGGGACTTAAGCATTCCTGGAACCAATCTTGCAGACACTGAGGAATGACTCTACAAGAAAAAGTAAGAATGCATTTACATTAACATAAACAATGTTTAAATTGTGCTGTGCCAACCAAAGACATTTAAGCACTTACTAAAGTTGTAGCAAGACTAAGAGTTTGCTTTTTTTAAATTTCAGACACTCTCCAAGTACCCCATCACAGTCTTCTGTTCAGCACCAACTGCATACCGAATGCTTGTACAGAATGACATGACCAGGTAAGAAATGTTAGTAAATAGGCATTTAGTTGGGGGAGGGGCAAAGAGGAAGCTATAAAATCAAGGATCTGTCTGCCTGAAAACATAGCTCCAAGCCAGTAGACACAGGATTTAGCAATCTTTCCTCTTCCTTCTTCTCCTTCTTGCTTGCATTCTGTGAATGATAATTACTGTGTCCAGAATAGGCTCCCCTAAACAAGAAGAAAGTGAAGGTTCCACAACATCTATAGCTCTAAGCCCAGTGGTTATGGGTAAGAAGACGGTCAATCTTTTGAATGATGGCTTTCTCTGAGCTGAGAAAGTAGAGAACTTATTTCTGTTTGGAACCTTATCCCGGCAGATAGAAAAGATGATGCATATCTTTTATTCTATTGCTAATTCTATTTGAAAGGGTGCATTGGTAATCTGAAAAGCAAAACAACCACTGTTTTTCTCGTTTTTTTTTTTTTCTTTATTTCAGTAGGTTTTGGGGGAACAGGTGGTGTTTGGTTACATACATAAGTTCTTCAGTGGTGATTTCTGAGATCTGTTGCACCCATCACCCGAGCAGTGTACACTGTCCCATTGTGTAGTCTTTTATCCCTCACCCACCTCCTACCCTTTTCCCGGAGTCCCCAAAGTCCGTTTTATCATTCTTATGCCTTTGTATCCTCATAGCTCAGCTCCCAGGAGCCACTATTTTACTATATTCACAACACTCAATACTCCTGGTCCCCAGATATAAGGGATTTTTTTCACCCACATTGACTGATTCTCCAACATCAGCTGAGTGTCCTATGATTTAATTCAATCTGACATTATCTCCCTGAAGACAGCATCATATCCCACAGGTTAATAACTCAGTCCCACAAGACCAGGGATCCCCAAACTTTTTACACAGGCGGCCAGTTCACTGTCCCTCAGACCGCTGGAGGGCTGGACTATGCAAGGTGTGGCACCCTTCACTGCCAGCACTGCTGCCTCTACTATCCCAGACAGCGGTATACAGTGTCACAGGCCCAGCACCGCCTCCAGTGCTGCATACAGGGATGGCGGTGATCAGCCTGTGACACTGTGTATACAGCGTCCTGGACATCTGCAGCAGCGGTGGGCCTCTTCTGTGGGAAGCCCACTGCTGCATGTTTCCCCTATTATAAGACACCTCCTAAAAATAAGACAGCCCCCATCTTTTGGGGGTAAAATTAATATAAGACAGGGTCTTATAATAGGGAAAACATGGTGTGTAGTAATGTGCGGGGAGACTTTTGGGCAAAGGGAGGTTATAGGGGCCATTATGTTGTTGTACATTTGGGGGAGTATGGGGGCCATTGTACTGTGTAGTAACGGTTATAGTGCTTTGCCTTTCTTCCTACTTCTGCTGTTATTTCACATTGCTTCCGGTGATGTGGGGCACCCACAGCCGCAGACCAGATGTGCGTCAATGACGTGCTTCCGGAGCTGTGACGCATGTGTCCCACGTCACCGGAAGTAGTACTGTACATGAGCGATGCCGTGCTTTGCAGTGCCACCACATACAGTACTCCAGGAGCACAAGATGCAGATGCATCCTGTGCTCCTGGAGTACTGCACAAGACTTTCCCACTTCAAATGCTAATCACAAGTCCAGGCTGTCACCTCCGCATATGACCAAATGGCTATAAATCAAAGGTTCCCGTGACCCTTCCTTGGGTTCAGTAATTTGCTATGATGGCTCACAGAATGCAGGAAAACACTTACTTACATTTTCCAGCTTATTATAAGAGATATGATAAAGATTACAGATGAATAGCTATGCAGACAAAGAGGTACATAGGGTGAAATCCACAGGATCCCAAGTGCAGCAGCTTCCATCCCTGTGGAGTGGGGGTGCACTACCTTTCTAGCACATGGAGCTCTCCAAACCTCATACTTCAAGGATTTTTCTGTAGGCTCCATTATGTAGGCATGATTGATTATTAAGTCAATCTCCAGCACATCTCCTTTCCCTGAAGGATGGAAGTGGGGTTGAAAGTGTCAAGCTTCTATTCCTGGCTTGGTCTTTCTGGTGACCAACCCCCATACAGGAGCCCCATAAGAGTTGCCTCATGAGAACAAAAGACGTTTCTATCACCCAGGAAATTCCACGGAACTTAGGAGCTCTGTGTCAGGAACTGGAGTCAAAGACAAAATATGAGAACAAAAGCTACTCCTAGCATACCCCTTGCTTGGGAAATTATAAAGGTTTTAGAAGCTCTGGGCCAAGAACCCAGGATGAAGACCCAATACAGGTTAAGTATCCCTTATCCAAAATGCTTGAGACCAGAAGTCTTTCAGATTTCAGATTATTTTAGATTTTGGAGTCTTTGCATTATACTGGTTGGGCTGCTCTAGTCCAAAAATATAAAACCTAAAATCCTCCAATGAGCATTTCTTTGGAGCATCATGTTGGTGCTGAAAAAGTTTCAGATTTTGGAGCACTTTGGATTTTGGATTTCCAGATTAAGGATACTCAACCTCTACATATTTCCTGTTATATCACATATCACACATAAATATATTTAAATTGATGTTATTTAATTTTTGAATAGGAAATAATTCACTATTCACCAGTTGAAAAAAAATTCAACAGGTATATAAAAATACATAGTGAAAAGTCTTGCTTCAAACCTTGTCCCCAGTCACCCAGTCCTCTTCCATGGAGGCAATCTGAGTTTCCAGTTTCTTGTCGATTCTCCCTGAAAATACACTAATATGCATGTGTTCTCCCCTTCTCTATTTTTTTTTTTTTTTTTAGACGGAGTCTTGCTCTGTTGCCCAGGCTGAAGTACAGTGGCACCAACTTGGCTCACTGCAACCTCTGCCTCGTGTTCAAGTGATTTTCCTGCCTCAGCCTCCTGAGCATATAGTATTACAGGTGTGCACCACCATGCCCAGCTACTTTTTGTATTTTTCGTAGAGATGGGGTTTTGCCATGCTGGCCAGGCTGGTCTTGAATTCCTGACCTCAGGTGATCCGCCCACCTCGGCCTCCCAAAATGCTGAAATTACAGGTGTGAGCCACTGTACCCAGCCTCTGTTTCTCTATTATAAACATAAATGACATCAAAAGATTCACACAGTTCTGCACCTTGCTTTTTTTCCCTAACAACATATTCTGGCACTGTGCTGTGCAATATGGTAGCCACTAACCACAGCTAGTTATTTAAATATAAATATTAATTAAATAAAAATTCAATTTCTCAGTTATACTAGCCATATTTCAAGTGTTCAACACTCATGTAGGGCTAGCATATACTGTAGCGGGTAGAGCAGACTACAGAGTACTTCTGTCATGACAGAAAGTTCTGTTGGACAGCACTGTCCAAGAGCTTCCTTATTCTTTTTCATAGCTGTATAGTATTCCATTGTATAAATATCTGACAATCGGTTTAACCAGACAAGTGGTAAACTTTTCATTGCTGATTTAAAGTGTTTTTATGGTGCTCACTTCAGCAGCACATACACTAAAATTGGAATGATACAGAGCAGATTAGCATGGCCCCTGCTCAAGGATGACATGCAAATTTGTGAAGCACTCCATGAAAACATAAAACATAAAATAAAATAAAATATTATTATGGGGTACCTTTCATAAGACTAGAATGACTTTCTTTGTAATAAATTATCTCCCCTGCCAAAAAAGGGGGAAGAAAAACTAGTATTTGAGGTGTTCTAATATCATTCTATGATATTAGAATGATTTATCTTTTTAATATAATTTTTATTTTTAATATTTGTGATTATATAATAGATGTATATATGGGGTAAAGTGGTTTATTTTGTGCTAGGGAGAGGAATTAAGAAGCAACTAAAACATTTTATATTGAAGTTCATAAGAAATAATCCTTAATTTTCACTTCTCTCCATTTTTCCTCCTAAATCTAACTTACCTGTTTTCTGAGAAGCTATAAGTTTGAAAGCTTAAAGCACTGTGTGAGTGCTGGGGAACCAATTACTACTGATGTGACTGAACAATGGAGAAACAAGACGGGCCTGGATATTTATGAAGGATATGGACAGACTGAAACGGTATCTGACCTCACTGAAAAGACATAGCTAGACTCCATTTAGTCAGATGAATAAAAACCAAAGTGTCCACTGTATCCTTATGATTATTTGAGGGATAGGAGTGGAGTGGTTAGAAAATGTTTAAAAACTATTGCTTGCAAGAACCCAGTTGCAAAAAAGCTCTGTTAACAGATAGTTGCTTAAATAGCCATTCATTGACAAACACCACTGCTAATGGATCAGAGTGAGGGAACTACAATTTTTTTTTTTTTAAAATGAAATAATACTGGCTTGGCCAGGTACGGTGGCTCATGCCTGTAATCCCAGCACTTTGGGAGGCCCAGGTGGGTGGATCATGAGGTCAGGAGATCGAAACCATCCTGGCCAACATGGTGAAACCCCGTCTCAACTAAAAATACAAAAATTAGCTGGGCATGGTGGTGCATGCCTGTAATTCCAGCTACTTAGGAGGCTAAGGCAGGAGAGTCACTTGAACCTGGGAGGCAGAGGTTAGAATGAGCCGAGATCATACCACTGCACTCCAGCCTGAGTGACAGGGCAAGACTGCATCTCAAAAAAAAAAAAAAAAAGAGGTAATACTGGATCTACTTAAAGAAAGAATTTGTCCCAGTATGATAGGGAAATATATTATTTAGGGCTGCCTCAAAATGGAAAATGCTGAGCTCCTTGCTACCTAAAATATTAAGTTTGCTGGATAACTCCTTAGCAACCATACTCTAAAAAGGAATTTTTAAAGAGCTCATAGAAGTAAAGAATAAGAAATTCTAGAGGAAATGAATGAAATAAGAACAAAAATGAAATAAGAATAAAGAATAAAATAAGAAAAATGAACAAAAGTGGTTATTCTGTAGAAGAAGGAGGAATAAGATAAAACAGATAAGGGAAAGGTCAAAAAAAAACTTTTCACAATGTGGGTCTTTATAATGATTCAATTTATGAACCATGAGAAGGTATCACATGGTCAAAAATGAAAATATCAAAAATAAAATAAAAACAAATAATTGAAAATTAAATAGAATAGCATAACAAGTATCATGCTAATACAAGTGCAAAGGTTAATATCCTCATGTTTTATAAATATAGATATATTAGCAATTATTGTTGTAACTATATTATATATATGTATGTATTTGTATGTTGTTTATCACTACATTCCATAAGAGTATAGCATTTATTTTGAGCCTAGTTCATAGCTAAGTTTTCAATAAATAATTTGTTAAATGCATGGTAGATGAATAAATTTTAAGTTACTTATAATGTTATCTTACTTTTTCCTCTTCTTTTTCTTAACTAGGTGCTAATCTGTGGAAATTTTAAGGGAATGAAAATTAAACCTGGCTCAATGGGAAAACCTTCTCCTGCTTTTGATGTTAAGGTTTGCACATCCTGTTCCAGGAGAATGTTTAACAACTCAATCTGTACACTGCCTACCACTCGCCCCCATATAAACTCTTTTTGTTTTGGTGATGATTCCATTTTACTTCTATGATACCTTATTATTATTTTTTTTTTTTGAGATGGAGTTTCGCTCTTGTTACCCAGGCTGGAGTGCAATGGCGCGATCTCGGCTCACCGCAACCTCCGCCTCCTGGGTTCAGGCAATTCTCCTGCCTCAGCCTCCTGAGTAGCTGGGATTACAGGCACGTGCCACCATGCCCAGCTAATTTTTTATATTTTTAGTAGAGACGGGGTTTCACCATGTTGACCAGGATAGTCTCGATCTCTTGATCTCGTGATCCACCCGCCTCGGCCTCCCAAAGTGCTGGGATTACAGGCTTGAGCCACTGTGCCCGGCCTATGATACCTTAATTTTTATAAAAATATGAAAATGAGGCCAGGCGCGGTGGCTCAAGCCTGTAATCCCAGCACTTTGGGAGGCCGAGGCGGGTGGATCACGAGGTCGAGAGATCGAGACCATCCTGGTCAACATGGTGAAACCCCGTCTCTACTAAAAATATAAAAAATTAGCTGGGCATGGTGGCACGTGCCTGTAATCCCAGCTACTCAGGAGGCTGAGGCAGGAGAATTGCCTGAACCCAGGAGGCGGAGGTTGCGGTGAGCCGAGATCGCGCCATTGCACTCCAGCCTGGGTAACAAGAGCGAAACTCCGTCTCAAAAAAAAAAATATATGAAAATGAGTTAGAAATGTTAGCTAATTGGTCTTATTATTTTGCAAATACCTATATTGTACCATACAGTCCTAAGCATTTAATAAATGGTAACCCATTAGGCTGGGTACAGTGGCTCACGCCTGTAATCCCAGCACTTTGAGAGGCTGAGGCAGGAGCATCACTTGAGCCTGGGAGTTCAAGACCAGCCTGGGCAAGTTGTGGGACTGTCTCTACAAGAAAAAAAAAAAAAAAAAAAAAAAAAAAAACTAGCCAGGTATGGTGGTACATGCTTGTGGTCCCAGTTATTCAGGAAGCTATGTTGGGAGGATTGCTTAAGCCTGGAAGTTTGGGGCTGCAGTGAGCCATGATCACACTGCTTCACTCCAGCCTGGGCCACAGAACAAGACCCTGTCTCTAAATAAATAAATATTAACCCATTGAATTTCCAGAAAAACCCCTATGAGAAGCGTACTAATATTAGAACCATCTTACAAACGAGGCACAAAGAGGTAAAAGAATTCACCAGAGGTCACACAGCTAATAGCTGCTAGAGTTGGGATTCAATCCCCAGCAGTCTAGCTCCAATATCTGCACTCAACCACAATACAACACTGTCCCCCCAAGTGAGAGAGGTCAAGACCTTCTGGGAGGTCAACCAGGCCCAAAAAGCTTCAGTATACAGTGGCTTCAGCACTTTCCCGCTCTGCTCCCAGGCCTGCCTGGCCATTTCCGGGCTCTTAGTATACATTGCCACTACTACCACCCGATGCCTAGGGGGTAGGCCACTTCCCCATCAGCACACTTTGTATAGGGTTAAAATTGTTCTCTGATCAACCCAGCATCAAAGCTGGGTGTAGCCAAAGAAACTTACACTAACATAGACACTCCTCAACTGATGATGGGGTTATGTCCCAAAATAAAGTCATCGTAAGTTAAAAACATCCTATGTCACAAATGCATGGCTGACTGGGAGTTGTGACTCACTGTTGCTGCCCATCATCTAGAGAGAAGGACAGTTTCAACTGAATGGTTATCTCTTTAACACCACTGTAAAGTTGGGAAATAGCTCAAACCATCTTTTTTTTTTTTTTTTTTTTTTGAGACAGAGTCTTGCTCTGTCACCCAGGCTGGAGTGCAGTGGTGTAATCTTGGCTCACTGCAACCTCCACCTCCCGGGTTAAAGCGATTCTCCTGCCTCAGCCTCCCGAGTAGCTGGGATTACAGGCATGTGCCACCACGCCCAGCTAAAGTTCAAACCATCTTAATTCAGAGACCCATCTGTACGTTAAGAGAAAGCAAAAGTAGCAAAAATATGGATAAATTAACAGAGTAGAGCTCTTAGATAAATGTTTCCTAAGCTTATTTCATTATAAACATCATATGGATATTTGTTAAAAATACTAATTCTCAGGCTCCTGGAGAGATTGATTCAATAGATTTGGAGTGGGATTCTGAAAGCTGAAATCTCGTAATTTTAACAAGCACCTCCAGGTAGTTTTTAGGATCAAGTAAGTTTCTGAGAGTTTAGACGAGCTTGATTGTTGTTGTAACTGTTTATAGAATAAACCAGATCCTGGGTCCTTTCTCTCACTCTAACCTTGCTATGGGAAGCTTGTCTCAAGATAGGATAGCCTAGTGGTTCAACTATATCTCTGCTATTCACTAGCTGAGTGTCTGTGAGTGAGCCGTTAAAGCTCTCTAAGCTCCAGTTTCCTGATTTGTAAAGTTGGGACTAGGGCAGGCGTCCCCAAACTTTTTACACAGAGGGCCAGTTCACTGTCCCTCAGACCGTTGGAGGGCCGCCACATACTGTGCTCCTCTCACTGACCACCAATGAAAGAGGTGCCCCTTCCTGAAGTGCAGGGTGGGGGGTGCAGATAAATGGCCTCAGGGGGCCACATGCAGCCCACGGGTGGTAGTTTGGGGACACCTGGACTAGGGTGACCAACCTGTCTGTCTGCCTGGGAGTAATCTGGTTTTAGTACTTAAGGCAATATATCATGAAGAACTCACCCACCCCTCACCACTTCAGTCCCCAGATGGTTGGTAATCTGAATAATAATAGAACTGAGTTCATAGGCTTCTTGTGGTGATTAAATGAGATAATATGTTTAAAGAGCATATCAGAGTGCTTAGCACATAATAAAGGTCCAAAAAATGGGTGCCGTTATTTACCTCTCCCTCACATTCCTCTTTGAAAAACTTCTGTAAGAAAAAATGGTAGGAGAGCCGTAGTTGCATTCCATAAACAGGCTTAACAATAGTTTGTTAAACAGGCTACTTTAGGTTGAAGAAAGAAATATTGATAATTAAGCACGCTCATGTCTGTATTACAGGGAAGTTGATATGTAACACAGCTATGTTCTTTTTCTTCCTCCCTTAATGGCAATTCCCAACATGCATGGCTATCAGGGCCTTACAGGCACAGCTGTACTCACAGTGATTCCAACTGCAAGGTACCCTGACCTGTTCCCCATTAATTTGAGCCCAGCGGTTTTCTCGAGCAGCTACCTTTGAATGCAAATATGATGAGGCTGAGACGAAAACAGTATTCCGCCTGCATCCTCAACCATTTTTAACTCTTTTCCAAGGGCTTATTATTACTGGGCTTCTTGTTCCTCAGCTAAGAGCATCTGCAGTAACATTCTGGCATCTGGGGATATGTTCCAACCAGGTTAATATCAGATGTCTACAACTTCGAAGCCCAAACTTTATAATCTTTTTTGTTTGCTTTTAAATTTAAATACTCATAATTTTCATGTTTAAACATTTTAACACCCTTTGAACAATGAGGAACATGATTCTCCCCAAAGACAGAAGATTTTATCTATATTCCCATCTATTAAAATCTGTGATAAATAACTGGAACTTTTAAAATACTTCCTTTCCATCAATAATTCCTTCATATCTGGAACCACATATTTCTTTAGATAACTGGGTGGGAATTTATATTTTTTTTATTTGCAAGAGCTTAAAGGGAAGTTTTTACTCTTAGAATTCCTTTCCCATTGAAGTTTCTCATTCAGCACATAAGCCCCTTTCCTTTTGGAAAGTACTAGATAAGTATTATACTTATTCTCCATGCAGGCCACACCTCAGATAAAAAAGCAGAACTTTGATACTTAGAAACAGCTAAAAGTCATTTAGAGCAAAATCTGGTATAAAATCAGCAATCAACTTGAGAAATGCTAATCTGATTTTTTAAAAATTGGATTAAACTCCTTAGAGGCATTGCACAGAGGAGTGTAATGATTAAAAGCATGTGACCTAGAGTGTGAGTGCTGAGATTTGGATTCCAGCTCAGTCATGCATAAAACTCGCTATACCTCAGTTACTTCATGTGTAAAATGGGCATAAAAGTTCTAACCATATAGGGCTATAGTACTTAAAGCTTTAGCATTTAATACATAGCATGCAGTAAGTACTTAAATGCTAGCTACTATTAGGTACTTCAAGAAATGATGAAGATTGGAGAGAGGGAAAGAGCAAGGCTGTGGCTTACTCACCATTGTTAACAAGAGAACATTCCCCTTTTCCTGTTTAGATTGGGCTTCTGATGTAAGGTTCTGTAAGTTCCACAGCTAAACAAAGTTTGAAAACCAATAATGAAGTTATTTATTTATTGAGAGCAAAAGATAACCAAGAGCTATTGCTAAATGATAAAAGCAGGTTGGCAAACTTGCATATTATAAAGCAATCCTATTTTTCTTTTTCTTTTTTTTTTTTTTTTGAGACGGAGTTTCAGTTGTTGCCCAGGCTGGGATAGAATGGTGTGATCTTGGCTCACTGCAACCTCCTCCTCCCGGATTCAAGTGATTCTCCTGCCTCAACCTCCCAAGTAGCTGGGATTATAGGCGCCCACCACCACACCTGGCTAATTTTTGTATTTTTAGTAGAAATGGGATTTCACCATGTTAGCCAGGCTGGTCTTGAACTCCTGACCTCAGGTGATCTGCCTACCTCAGCCTACCAAAGTGCTGAGATTACAAGCATGAGCCACTGTGCCCAGCCAGCAATCCTATTTTTCTATTTGTTTATATTATCTCAAAGGATATTACCAAAATGTGATTATTCCTGGATGGTAACATTTAAAAATTTTTTTATCCTTCTTTCACATTTTGGTAACCTGTACTTAATATTTTATGCAATAAGAATTTAAATAAATATATTTATCTTAGGAATTTAAAGTATATTTAAAATTTTGGGGGAGCCAGGTACAGTGGCTTATGCCTGTAATCCCAGTACTTTGGGAGGCCAACGCTGGAGGATCACTTGAAGCCAGGAACCAGCCTGGGCAACATAATGAGGCCCTTGTCTCTAAAAAAAATCAAAATAAACATTAGCTGAGCATAATGGCATGTGTTTGTAGCTTCAGCTGCTTGGGAAGCTGAGGTGGGAGGATTCCTTGAGGCCAGGAGTTCAACACTGCAGTGATCTATGAGCTACGATTACACCACTGCACTCTAGCCTTGGTGACAAAGTAAGACCTTGTCTCACACAAAAAATTTTTTAAGTCTTCATTTTTAAATGGCAAAAAACAAAACATGCAAAGTTAATATTTAAGCCAGGCATCCCCAAACTTTTTACACAGGGGGCCAGTTCACTGTCCCTTAGACCGTTGGAGGGCCGCCACATACTGTGCTCCTCTCACTGACCACCAATGAAAGCGGTGCCCCTTCCTGAAGTGCGGCGGGGTGCCGGATAAATGGCCTCAGGGGGCCGCATGCGGCCTGCGGGCCGTAGTTTGGGGACACCTGATTTAAGCTGTGACATTAAACAAAAATTTCCTAAATAAATTGTGCTATTTTATCCTAGATTGTAGATGGAAATGGCAATGTTCTACCTCCTGGACAAGAAGGGGATATTGGCATTCAAGTTCTACCTAACCGACCATTTGGCCTTTTTACTCATTATGTAGTAAGTGACTTCGTAAATAATCTCTTATTTTCTATGTATTTCTCAAGTTCTTGGTAACTATCCTGGTTAGCCACAAAATGTACCTAGGATGGATACTTGGCTCTTTCTCGAAAGATTGCTTGTCCTGAATTGTAATCCGAAAGACAAGAAATTGAAGAAATACCCAAATTCCTGCTGAAGAAAAAAAAAAACAGCTTGTACCCTGAGGCTAGATCACTGTTTCAGGTCCATGAAGGCAAAAGGAAGGGACCCTAGAAAGAAAAAAGCCTCTTAACATCCCCGGAGCCTCTCAATTATCAAACAAAACCTACTCATTTTCCAGAAATCCAATTAGTGCTCTCTCTTCTTGGGAAGAGTGAGAGGGACAGGGGATGAAAGGGTGGTGGGATTAAGCAAATGACTTTCACTAGAGGGGTTCCAACCTCCTTATTGTTTGCAAGAGTATTTTCATCTCTAATCACAGTACACAAATTAGAGCAAAGTCTGTATCATATAAAGTCCAGATGCTACTTGTCAGTGTATTTTATATAATGTAACAGTATCTTGTTCATTTCTTTTATGTCAAATTTGCAGAACCACTTTTGTTATTGTGTAAAACAAAACAAAACACAAAACCAAAAACAAACCTTTGCTCTTTGAGTTACTATGTGTCAGTGCTTTTTTTTTTTTAACTCCGGGTATTTACATCTCTCTTTTCCCACCAGCATTATATATTAATCAGTTAGCAAAAGACTTACTTTAGTTTACTTCTCTGAGCTCCGAGCTCCTGCAATATTTATCTATCTAAGAAAATTCTTAAGATGGAAACATGCCTATAATTATATGTAGTTTAAATTTCTTCTCTCGGGCTAGCTCCATGCTGGAATTTCATCCTTATTTTCACACTCTGGCTCTTCCTAACTCTAATGCTTCTCAAAGGAGCCAAACTTTTCTGCTTTCTTGAACATTCAAAAATCCAACTGAGGGCTGGTCACAATGGCTTATGCCTATAATCTCAGCACTTTGTGAGGCCGAGGTGGGCAGATCACTTGAGGTAAGGAGTTGACACCAGCCTGGCCAATATGGCAAAATCCCATCTCTACCAAAAAATACAAAAATTAGCTGAGTGTGGTGGTGCAAGCCTGTAGTCACAGCTACTTGCGAGGCTGAGACGGGAGAATTGCTTGAACCTGGGAAGCAGTGAGCCAAGATTGTGCTACTGCACTCCAGCCTGGGTGATGGAGTGAGATTCTGTCTCGAAAAAAAATAAATAAATAAAAGCCAATTGACCAGAAGGGTTAGATTCACCACATTAACAAAATCCTATTTGTTTTGCAGGATAATCCTTCCAAAACAGCTTCAACTCTACGAGGCAATTTCTATATTACTGGGGACAAAGGGTATATGGATGAAGACGGATATTTCTGGTTTGTTGCAAGATCAGATGATATCATATTATCCTCTGGGTAATTTTCTTTTCCATATGTGCATATGTCTGTGTTAACTGATCATCGGGTTCCAGAGTGAACCTGCCACTCACCTATATGTATTCATCCTATATGCTTTTCTAGTTATCGAATTGGACCATTTGAGGTAGAAAGTGCCCTGAATGAACACCCTTCAGTTGCAGAGTCAGCTGTTGTCAGCAGCCCAGACCCCATCAGAGGAGAGGTAAAAGAACTGATTCATCTCAACTTTATAATTTGTTGGCAGTTTAACACAAACTTACAAACCGTAGCTTAGTGAAACAGAATAAACCAAATGATTCATTCACTAAATATGCAAGTCAGATAGAAATGTGCTAGTCAGAAAGAACTGCTACAAAATAAGATTGAATTATGAGTTGTAGCTCTGATCCTAACCAAAACCAAAAAATAATAATAAGACTGAAAATGTGTACTAGAAAGAACTTAAATTCTTTCCATGGTGGACTAGGGCAAAGATGGTGTGAATGTCAGTAACCCAGGCTCACATGAGGATGGGGTGACAGAAGTCAGCTGGATAGTTTCAAGTTGTTACTCAGAAGGTCTGGAAACCAACAAGGTCCCTGGTGTAGTGGAGAATGGGCATCACATATCAGGAGTGAGAACAAGGTCAGAGGCTAGAACTGAGGTAACCATAAGCAGGGTGGGTAGGTAAATAAGCAGAGGTTTCAAGAAATAAGCTCTGAAGGCCGGGCGCGGTGGCTCAAGCCTGTAATCCCAGCACTTTGGGAGGCCGAGACTGGTGGATCACGAGGTCAAGAGATCGAGACCATCCTGGTCAACATGGTGAAACCCCGTCTCTACTAAAAATACTAAAAATTAGCTAGGCATGGTGGCGTGTGCCTGTAATCCCAGCTACTGAGGAGGCTGAGGCAGGAGAATTGCCTGAACCCAGGAGGCGGAGGTTGCGGTGAGCCGAGATCGCGCCATTGCACTCCAGCCTGGGCAACAAGAGCGAAACTCCGTCTCAAAAAAAAAAAAAAAAAAAAGAAATAAACTCTGAATAATACAGCAGTCCTGAAAGCCCATTCCTATTGGGGCTGACCACACAGTATTTTGGCTTAAAGGTACCATGCCAGGCAGCCTCCTGTTTTGCCTTTGTGTCTACAGCATGTCCCAAGGGGTTCTCTAGATGAGTTACAAGTTCTCACCATATTTCTTCAATCTGTATCCCTTCTAACACTGAACCCAAGTTTTTTTTTGTTTTTTGTTTTTTGTTTTTTGTTTTTTTTATGAGAGGGCGTTTTGCTCTTGTTACCCAGGCTGGAGTGCAATGGCGCGATCTCGGCTCACCGCAACCTCCGCCTCCTGGGTTCAGGCAATTCTCCTGCCTCAGCCTCCTGAGTAGCTGGGATTACAGGCAAGCGCCACCATGCCCAGCTAATTTTTTGTATTTTTGGTAGAGACGGGGTTTCACCATGTTGACCAGGATGGTCTCGATCTCTTGACCTCGTGATCCACCCGCCTCGGCCTCCCAAAGTGCTGGGATTACAGGCTTGAGCCACCGCGCCCGGCCTGAACCCAAGTTTTGAAGATGACATTGATGTCAATACAAATCCAGAACTTTCTGTACCATGTATTCAAGCTCCTTATCTCAAATCCTAGGTATAGGGCTGCAAGCACAGGGCATGGGGCAGAGTTAGAAGATACTAATTTCAGGGGATGAAATAGGTCCTCAAGTTTAAGGCAGGCCAGGCACAGTGGCTCACACCTGTAATCCTAGCACTTTGGGAGGCTGAGGTGGGTGGATCACCTGATGTCAGGAGTTTAAGATCAGCCTGGTCAACATGGTGAAACCCTGTCTCCACTGAAAATACAAAAATTAGCAGGGCATGGTGGTGCACACCTGTAATCTCAGCTATTTGGGAGGCTGAGGCAGAAGAATCACTTGGACCCAGGAATGGGAGGTTGCAGTGAACCACTTGCGTTCCAGCCTGAGCAACAGAATGAGCCTCCGTCTCAAAAATAAAATAAAATAAAATAAAATTTAAAAGTTTAAGGCAAAAATGGGAGATATGCATGTTACAGTGGAATGAGGGTGGTTCTCCCCCCAGGACTGACTCCTTTAACTGATCTTTGATGCCAGAAGATACCCTGTAAGTCCTCCTGGTTGGATATATTGTCCAGTGGATGGGAATTGGCAGTTTGTCAAGTTGCTAGGATGAAAGTCCCTATTTAAGGCCAGGTGCAGTGGCTCAGACCTATAATCCCAGCACTTTGGGAGGCTGAGGTGGGCAGATCACAAGGTCAAGAGTTTGAAACCAGCTTGGTCAACATGGTGAAATCCCATGTCTAAAAAAATAAAATAATAAGATTAAAAAAATAAATAAATAAGGAAAGTCCCTATTGTCCCTATTTACTATGAAAGGGTATACTCCAGGCAGTGGAGGGCAAGGAAAACAGTCCGTGATTATTGGCTTGTCTCTTTGCTCTGACCACCACCGGCAAGGTTTTGCAAGTCTCAGCTCTTCCTGTACTTCACTCCTACCATAAGTCATCATCGGTTTTACTCACCTAGACAGGTGCTTACTTGGAACAGGATGGTAGCTGAGCCTTTGGGAACAGGGTTGGTTTGGCAGTCACCTGATATCCTAGAGTACAATACAGAAAAGATCTGTAAGTGGGTTGTGGTCCCCTCACAGCTCTGGGGTCTTGGCGTAGGGCTTGGATTAGTCAGAGTGAGGGGGAGAATGTAGCCAGTTTCTCAACACTGGTGGGCTGCAGGATTTCCTGGTAGATGAGTGGGTGTCTCAAACAAGGTGTCTATGAACAAAATGGCCACATGCTCCATGCCACCAGTGGTTCCTCCCTTTCTGCTGGCAGGCCTATTCTACCTGGGTTAGGTCCTTCTCCAGGCTGGGTCTTGCCAGGCCTTTAATTGAGTAGCAAGTTCCAGAACTGATTAAAAAGAATAGATTTGAAATACAATTTTAATATTGGAATGTGAAATAAACACTTGAGAAATATTTGTCTAGATCACTAGGTTCTTACATTTTTTGGATCACATACCTCTTTGAGAATTTGAAGAAAACCACAGGCCACTGATGGACTTATGCAATGATGGAAATGTTCTGTATTTGCACCATCCAATACGATAGCCATGCATGGCTATCAGTCACTTGAAATGTGGCTAGTGTGACTGAGAAAATTTAATCTTATTTAATTTTAATTCATTTAAATTGAAATATGTGGCTAGTGGCTATCATATTGAATGGCACAGCCACTTTTCTCAGAAAAATACAAGATTTTGCATAGAACTTCAGAGAAATCTGAAGCCCATTTATGGATTTGGGGTTAAAAAATAAAACCCAAACTTGTTGTAATTCTAAGACTACAACTAAGATCTAATGTTTTTGATGACATACTATGTGCCAGACATTACACATCTACGCTAATTCATTTAATCATCATAATCTCTTTCCACAGAGAAAGAAACTGAGGCACAAAGAGATTACCTAACTTGTCCAACATTACCCAAAAAACTGTGACTTGAACCCAGCTGTTCTGACTTCAGAGTTCATACTTTTACTCATAACGTTAGGTTGTTCCTTGTTAATATTTTCTGTAGTCGTTTAAAAAGATAAAGGAGACTTCATCCAAGGTGTAGAAGTCAATATGTGAACCAGTATTGCATTAAAATAATTTGCCTTTGAATGACTTACTTATAACAAGCATAATTTTTTAATTTGCAAAAATGTTGCTAATGCAGCAGAACCAGCATAACTACAAATACATTTTATAAAATGTCAAGAAATGAATAGAACAAAATTATATCCATAGACACACATACACACAAGGGTTCACAACTGCCCTATGGCACATGTAAATTTAAAATGTTAAAGGGTTTTCTTTTTTTCTTAGAGACAAAGTCTTACTATGTTGCCCAGGCTCCTCTCAAACTCCTGGGCTCAAGCAATCCTCCCGCCTTGGCCTCCCAAATGTTGGGATTACAGGCATGAGCCACTGCACCCCACAAGGGTTTTGGGTAAAGACAAAAATGGGTAACAGCTCATAAAATGTAAAATACCCACTGGTGAAATTTTCAATATGTGAAAAAATTATAACTTGAAGTCTTTGTTTCTCACCAATAGTTGTTCTGAGCAATTTGTTGTTTCAAATAATTCATTTTCAATTAAATCTTTACTCCTAGATCAAAGTGGATAGGAAATGTTGCCAGCTTATCTTTAAGCTGGACAAATGAATCCTTGAGTTTAATAAGATTTCAGGCACTTAACTGCAGGATATTTAATCATAAAACAGTTTCAGGGGACTCTCCTGGAACTGTACCTGCAGAAACCATTATTCCACAGCCAGCTCTGGGCTGGTAATCTAGCTTTGGAGGTACATACTAGTTGATACACCTAGACACAATGCCTATAGGAAAGGCAGTAAATGGCAGTCCTGGCAGTGCCCTAGGAGAGAAAATGATAGGACTCCAAATTTACTTTTAAAGGGGGCTCTGAGGGATGGCCTATCTTTCTGTCTTCTCCATTACAGTTCCAAAAACTAGGCAGGGTTTTCCAAAACATTTCTAGGAAGGATAAACTTTGGAGAACAGGATTTGTAAGCATAAAGTAACAACGTCTTTCTTGTCTTCTGCCACAATTTCCACTCTTATTCCTCAGGGCTATGGAAATGGCTCAGAGCAATAGCAAAGTGGCTATTGGAATCTTCACAGCCTTGTGTAAAGACTGCATGTTTTCTGTGAACTGTTCCCTTCAACAATGACATGGCAAACTCAGGGTGACTACTGTTTATAAGTAGCCCCCATGCTGAGGGCTAGGCTGGACCAGGCTGGGTCATCACACAGGTCCCAGAAGCTCTCCTGTGTTAGGTACAGACCAGGAAGTGTGTGAGTCAACTGGCTGGCTTAAGAACACAAAGTTGGGATCAAACTTTATTAAAACACTCTGGCCCACCCCACTAGGCACAGAGATTCTCAGAGCAAGCAAATAAGACTTACTAAAACATACAAATGTATAACTTATTTTCCTGGCATTTCAAATATTTATTTTAGGTAGTAAAGGCTTTTATTGTTCTGAACCCTGATTACAAGTTACATGATCAAGAACAACTAATAAAGGAGATTCAGGAGCATGTTAAAAAAACTACAGCACCTTACAAATATCCCAGAAAGGTAGGTATCCTAATTATGATGAATATTTGCTCAGTATTATGGAAAATTGCAACTGTTTATTTTTACCTTTTAATGACTATTTTCTTCACTCATGTTACATACCACATGTCCCAAACTGAACTGATGACATATGAGTAAGAATCAGAATCTTTGAGATAAAAATGAAACCCTAAACCTATTTTGTTTGGTCCTTTGGACTTGTAGTAAATACTTAATATCAAGACAATTTCCTCAACAATACCGTTTTCCCTTCTTTGGTTGTTACCCAAAACCTATTCCAATGAATATTCTAATTCTTTCACCTAGAATTCATAATTGAACTGCTATATAATTGGCTTTATGCAAAGACAAAAATTTCCAGGCTAATTTTCTTCCCCTTGATGCCAACAGGTAGAATTTATTCAAGAGCTGCCAAAGACTATCAGTGGGAAGACAAAAAGAAATGAACTGAGGAAGAAAGAATGGAAAACAATTTAAATGTGTTTCTTTGACTACCACATTTATAAAACAAACATATTATCTGTCAATCTCTAGAAACTACAAGATGATGGAGAGGTGATAAAACTGTGGTAGTATGCTCAGAAACTGTTGATTTAAAATATCTTGTGGTTATGATATCAGATGCTAAATTTTGAAATAAAATGTTAGGTAAATTCCTCTGCATTACTGTCAATGTTCCTATCATTTCTTAATATAAAAAGAATGTCATCAATTATTGATTAATTTTTAAATGTATAGTATAGAAGCAGTTTCTGAACCAAATCTCTGCTACACAGGTTTTCAAACTTTAGTTGACTAATTCTTCTGATATGTTGATATACAAATCAAAATCAATGTTGAAGCTGTGAAATAAAACTAAACAACTTATAAAAATTTTTAGAAAAATACAAAATACCGGCCGGGCGCGGTGGCTCAAGCCTGTAATCCCAGCACTTTGGGAGGCCGAGGAGGGTGGATCACAAGGTCAGTAGATCGAGACCATCCTGGTCAATATGGTGAAACCCCGTCTCTACTAAAAATACAAAAAAGTAGCTGGGCATGGTGGCACGTGCCTGTAATCCAAGCTACTCAGGAGGCTGAGGCAGGAGAATTGCCTGAACCCAGGAGGCGGAGGTTGCGGTGAGCCGAGATCGTGCCATTGCACTCCAGCCTGGGTAACAAGAGCGAAACTCTGTCTCAAAAAAAAAAAAAAAAAAAAGAAAAGAAAAATACAAAATACCAGTTAGAAGATTATGATAATTCTCAAAGTACATGTATCTAACCGAAAATAGACTAGGGATTTTTATTAGTCACATTTTTGTGCACATAATTTAAAAATAGTTTAAGACTTGCTTCAAGGTCTAACTATAAAAGAAGGATCATATACTATTGTTGTTTATTATATGTAATCTAATAAATACTGTTAACAAAAGATGACATTTGTGGTTCCTGAAGAAAGTATGATGAATTCAGTAAACATTAATATATAAAACAGTGTAAGATGTTATCAGAATACTCATGTTTGGAAATTCAAAGAACAATTAGAATTCATACATGAAAGATTATCAATTCCTCATTGAAGGCCTGAGTCTCAAGGAATTTCTGGTGGAAATACTTAAATTTTGGACACGAAGATGGCTTGTTTCTGGAGAATTAAAAGTAAGTTCTCCTGTGGAATGAAATGGAACTATGCTGTTGGCTCTTTCCTTTTGAAGTGTTTGTTCCCATCTGAAATAACCACAACATTTTCTGTTTTCTTGGTATTTCCCAATAGGGCAACAATAGAAGACTTTTCCATGGTTCGGTCCGTTATTGGAAACAACAAGTCTCCTAGACCTTCGCCCACACTTGCATAAGGGAGGTGTCATTTTCCCACTCTTCCAAGGCTCTTGTAGGTTAACTATAGAAGTTAATACAGATGGGAAAAGCTTCCGGGAAGAACTTCTTACTGGGGAGCAATCAGATGACATAGGCTTTTCTTCATGAATAGTGAAGGGTTGTTTTTTTGCTGGTGGGAAAGCTTGAGGACTGCATGGATTCCTTTTGGTACCATCTGAAGGAGGAGGATGCTTCCCCAAAACTAAAGGATGAGACATATTGGCCTTAACTCTGTTGCAGGTACTTGATCTGTGTTCAGGTAACTTAAAGGCAGAAACATCTGAACCCGGATCTTTGGCTTCTTTTACATTATAAATAGTAGTGTGAGGACTCTTGTAGACAATAGACTTAGAAGTCTCAGATTTTTGAAGAGTTTTCTCTACGTCTCCAAAGTTTTCATGACTTGGCATTTCTGATTCTTTCAGAACCATTAATCTTTCTCCAGAATTAAATGAAATCGCTAAGTCTGAATCACTAATGCGAACTGTATAGTCTATGTTTTTCTCAGGCTGAGATGCTGGCAGTAAAACCACATCCTCCCAATCAGCCAACATAGGCAAACAGTCAAGGGTAGAGCTCATTTCCATATCGGAAACATGATTAACAGTTGGAATGGTGGTAGAAACAAGTACCAATTCTGAACCAACTGTTGAAGACTTAGATTTGGTATTAAATGCAAGATGTTCATTTTTTCCTTGCTTTTGCATATAGATAGGTGAATTCAAGGTAGGAGACTGCAAATGCCCCAGAGAAGTAGAGGACTTAGAATTAATAATAGATAAGCAACTTTTGACACTGTGAAGACCTGTTTTTATAGTGTTCTTTACTTGTAATTGATCCTTCTGTGCCTTTACAGGAAAATTTGCACAAACTGACTTCATTTGAACTTTTTCACGAGAATTTATTGTATTTTTAGGCTCCTTATCATATATGCTAGGACCCTGGATGCTGTTACAGGCAGACATTTCTTCAACTTGATTTGTTTTCAAATTTCTGGCCAGAATGCTGGAATTCTTCTTAGTGGGAACCTATGATTCCACAGACAAATCCAACAGTTTTAGAAACTGTGCATTCATAATTTCTTCAATATATAGTTTATGATAAAAAGGAGAAATGTCATTGATTTATAAATGACTACATACATTAAATCTACATTTTCAAAGAACATATTCCTGTTTATGAAGTTTGAGATGACAGAATAAAGAGGCAAGACACTACTAACCTTGTTCAATGACCTTGTAATTTTCATTAGACAGCCATCCCTGATCATTTTCCAAGCAAGAAGGGCAGTATTCCGAGAATCGTCCAACCCTGAGGATACAGATATAAAACACTGAATTTAGTGGTACTAGTACTATTTCCTTAGTACTAAAAAAATAACAGCCAACAACAACCACCACCTACTACTTGTATAGAAATTGTAGCTTTTTTTTGAGTGGGGGACGAAGTCTCACTCTGTTGCCCAGGCTGGAATGCAATGGCACAATCTTGGCTCACTGCAACCTTGGCCTCCTGGGTTCAAGTGATTCTCCTGCCTCAGCCTCCTGAGTAGCTGGGACTGTTACAGGAACGCACCACTATACCTGGCTAATTTTTGTATTTTTAGTAGAGATGGGGTTTCACCATGTTGGCCAGGCTGGTCTCGAACTCCTGACTGAAATAGTACTAGTACCACTAAACTCAGTGTTTGATATGACCTCATGATCTGCCCACCTCGGCCTCCCAAATTGCTGGGATTACAGACGTAAGCCACTGCACCCAGCCAGGTTTTATGACCATCTACTAATTTTAATCATGATAAACTGGTGTTGTGGAAGGCTGTAGCAGCATTACCAATGAAAGACAAGCTCATCCACATTTATAGAGGAGGATCTGAAAATGGATTAGACAGCTCCCCAAAATGTGGCCAACATTCTGTAGGAACCAGGAGTTGTGAATAATCTAATAGTCTTGTTCAGTTTTTTCACTAATCCATTATATTATTTGGGCACTTGTTTTAACCTCCATTTGATTTGGCTAAGTCTTTTCATTCTTTTTAGCAACTAGAAAGCCACTAGATGGTAGTGTATCCTACAATAGTTTATGAAGTGGTAATTTGAAAGTCTTAAAACAATGTGAATTGTTTAGGAACTTTTTTTAAAGTCTGAAGATATCCCTTATTAATGACATTACCAAAAAATGAAATTCATATGAAATGTTTTTTAAAAGTCAAATAACTTACATAAGTTTTAATTTATACCAACCAGAATGTTCTCGTCCTGAGAATTCTATTCCCACTTCCTGCAAGGCACCACTTAGTCCTTTTGGTTTTCTCCTATAGAAAAGCTAATCAAATAAAATAAGACATATCTAAAAAAAAATTAGTATTTTAAAGGCTATGTATTAACCACTTTTCATAATTTTTAGTTCTATTAGATTTAAAATGTGCTTATTTTGTGTGTATTGTTTTTAAATACTTTAAGAAATGCATTGTGACCATTCCAAAAGAAATTATCTTATTTGTAGAAACCCATACCCATATGTAGGATAAAAGTTAATCACTTGTCAACAGAAGAAAAGTAACCATGTCCCCATTTTTGACCATTACCTTGTAAGTTGATCTGAGATCAATCCAAGAATTTAAAAACACAGGTTTTAACAGCTGCTTTCTTTTACACTCATACTCCAGGCAAACCCCCAAGTCCCAGTCTGCATTAGGTACATTAAAATAGAACAAAGTCAATGATGCCAGCATTTTTAACTTATGGTGCCACCATTTACAAATAGAATGCTAGAAGATGATATAAAATAAAACAGTAAGATTTCATTGCTCTGCAAATATCTAAAAATTATTCACTTTATATAACTTACTATTAAGAAGTTAGGTTGATGATTAAATTTGAAAATGATTTCTTAAATACCCAGTAAAACCCTGACTATTTCAGAAAGAAGAGCAAGATGTTAAATTACAAGGGCTATATTTTCTATATTCTGGGAAAATATTAATGTCATTGAAAAACCAAACATTTTGTAGTAACTGGAAACCAAATATGACTACCAATGCTATGCTATCAATGACATAGTATTGCTATCAAGGACTATTAACAGCAATGTTCCACCACAGTCATACAAAAAAAGCTACTTTGAATGGCTCGTTTTTTTTTCTTTTAAGTGTCAAAGCATAAAAGCAATGGATGTTGAGCCGATGAAGACTCTGTAGAAAATAGCATGATAAGAGTTTTCACTAAATCTTTGCTTAATTCACAAGAAAATAGTGGAACTCTAGAAAAAAAATTTTTTAAGTTCAGGCTTAAAATTCAGGAATTCCAAAAGGCTAACTTGAAAAATATGTATGAATTTACCTTTCTTGGCTAACATCTGCTAGGCATTTAAATTTTTTTTCCTAGCCCAGGAGATTAACAAATATAAAATAGGTTGGAAAGTATAAAACTAGAAATAAAGAATTACATAGTGTTAATGCTACCCATTTATGATATTTTTTACCTGACCAAGTAACAAATGCACATAAGTTTACTTCAGAAGTAGAAGGCTCTGAAACCCCAGCAGCAAAAATAATTTTCTTCTGTTGCTGAATCTTATGAATCCATTTACAGAACTGAGATAAGCAAATCTTCAGAGGGACTCCTTCATCAACTTGAGCCTGAGTAGAGAGTCAAAAAATCTGAATTCAACGATCAAAGTCCATGATTATTTAGCATATTTTATAACTGTGGAGAAAGATTAATGGTTTTAAAAGAATCAGGGGCCGGGCGCGGTGGCTCACGCCTGTAATCCTAGCACTTTGGGAGGCCAAGGCGGGTGGATCATGAGGTCAAGAGATCCAGACCATCCTGGTCAACATGGTGAAACCCCGACTCTACTAAAAATACAAAAAATTAGCTGGGCATGGTGGCGCGTGCGGGTAATCCCAGCTACTCAGGAGGCTGAGGCAGGAGAATTGCCTGAACCCAGGAGGCGGAGGCAGGAGGCGGAGGTTGCAGTGAGCCAAGATCACACCATTGCACTCCAGCCTGGGTAACAAGAGCAAAAACTCCGTCAAAAAGAAAAAAAAAAAAAAAAAAGAAAGAATCAGAAATGCCAAGTCATGAAAACACAGTGTATTGTGGGAAGATACAACAAAGCAATTCTAACAGGCAGAGTTTATCTAGTGGAAAGACGTAAAAATACATGGGAAAGAAATAGTATTTAAAATCTACCAAGGTAAGACAAACTAGGTTGATAAAACTAAAATCACACAGAAATATGATCATTAAATCCAGACTGACAGAAATGAAAGACAAATTTGAATTAGTTAATTTCCACAAAATCAATTTGATCCTCATTTTTATAACACTATTCTTCCTTTCCTTTTCATTTATTTAAAATTTTTTTATTTTTTATTTTTTTTGAGACAAGGTCTTGCTTTCTTGCCCAGCGTGGAGTGCAGTGGCACAATCTCAGTTCACTGCAACCTCAACCTCTCAGTTCAAGCAAGTCTCCTGCCCCAGCCTCCTGAGTAGTTGGGATCACAGATGTGTGCCACCGTAACTGGATAATTTTTGTATTTTTAGTAGAGACGAGGTTTCGCCATGTTGGCCACACTGGTCTTGAACTCCTGATCTCAGGTGATCCACTGCCTTGCCCTCCCAGAGTGGTGGGTTTATAGGCGTGTTCCTTTGCTTTTTAAATTGAGTCCTGAGGTGGCTCACATCTATAATCCCAGCACCTTGGGAGGCTGAGGTGGGCAGATCGCTTGCGGTCAGGAGTTCAAGACCAGCCTGGCAAACATGGTGAAACCACATCTCTGCTAAAAATATAAAAATTAGCCAGACGTAATGGCGTGTACCTATAGTCCCATCTACTTGGGAGGCTGAAGCATGAGAATCATTTAAACCCAGGAAGCAGAGGTTTCAGTGAGCTCAGCCACCTCACTCCAGCTTGGCTGACAGAGCATGATTCTGTGTCAAAACTAAACAAACAAACAAATACATAAATAGAATCCTGAATCTAGAATAACACTAATCTTATTTATTTATTTTCAGCAACAAGTTCTGTTGCCTACGATAGACTGAGATTATACTGCCTTGCAGTCGTAAACTCCTGGGCTCAAGTGGTCCTCCCACCTCAGCCTCAGCCTCCCAAATTGCTGGGACTACAGGCACATGCCACCAAGTCAGGCTAACTAAAAAAAAATTTTTTTTTTTTTTTTTGCAGAGACTGGGTTCTCGTTATGTTGTCTAGGTTGGTCTTGAATTCCTGGCCTCAAGCAATTCTCCAACATTAGTCTCCCAAAGTTCTGGGATTACAGGCATAAAGCTATCATGCCTAACATTAAATAAATCTAATTCCAAATGGTATAATAGCTTTTATTTTCTTTTTGAGACTAACTTCTGAATTTTAAAATTTGCATCATACCTGCTTTATGCCTGTCAATTCCATGCAAAATTCTGAAAGAATTGGTTGTTCCTGAGGTTGAACATAAGCATGGAACTCAGATTCAATCTGTCCAGTTGATGTGTTCAGCAACACTGCTGGAAACTCAACTAAACAAAAGAAACATCAATTGACAGTTGAATATATAATTTTAAAATTAATCCTGTAATCATCCTAAATTAAACACACCTCATTTCAACAGCATTATTAAACAACCAATTTTCAGTAAAAGCATATTAAAATGGCCAAAGCAGTGTGACATAAAGGTTATAACAAAGTTATGCTAAAGAATAAATCAAAACACTGAAGTTATGAGTAAATTGTCTTAAAACTCAATATAATTAAATATAAAGACCATATGGAATATAAAATTTACTCCTTTTTGCAAAGGTATTTTTTTCAGTTTCTATGCAATTGAGGTATTTTATGTAATATAAAACAACTATTTTATATAATAACACACTTAGGTATTTGAGATTTTGCTGTTTCTTATTCAGCACAGGTTTATATTAAACTACCAATGCATAGACCAATGTGTTTTCTTAAACTCTTGGCTGATTTATGTCTATAAACTTTAAAGTGACTTATTTGGTGCCAGCTTTAGCCATTGGTAGTCCAGACTTACTTATTTCCTGGCTATGGTGGCGTTTCCCATCATTCCAGCATGTTGATTCAAAATCAATGACAATTAAGTAGTCAAATAACTGCTCTGCAAAAGATCAAGTTGTTCTTATGCTTTACCAGTGCTGAAAGCGCAGGGCTACAAAGTACAAAGAAACTAAGCATACTACTTACTGGATTTGCTTCTTCCTAGATTCCCATTTGCTGATGCAATTGACTTTCTCCTAATTAATCCCAGCTGCCTAAAAATGTGAAGCAATCCAAATATGATCAGTGAACTCATTCACACTCCTGTTTGAATAAGCTACCAAACTAATGGTACTGGGCAACAATTACATTATTTATTGTGACCAAAGGGAAACTGAACTGGACTTTGGGTTTACCTCAAAGGCCTCAAAAATATGTATTTGCAAATTTAGGCTAATTTGTTGGTTTTGTTTTTGAGACAGGGTCTTGCATTGTCACCTAGGTTGCAGTGCAGTGGTATGATCACTGCTCATTGCAGCCTCAATCTCCTGGGCTCAAGCAATCCTCCCACCAGTTTCCTGACTAAGACTACAGGTGCATGCTACCGTGGCCACTAGCTTTAAAAAATTTTTTTTTTTTGTAAAGGCAGGGTCTCACTATATTGCCCAGGCTTGTCTCAAACTCCTGGGCTCCAGTGATACTCCCACCTCAGCCCCCTCAAAGTGCTGGGATTATAGGCCTGAGCCACTGTGTTCAGCCAATTTACGCTAATTTTATGTTACCGTTATTTACAGTAATACCGAGGAACTCAAATGATTGTAGAGGAAAAATCCAATGGAAATCTTATTCTTACCTCTGTATTTTCTAACCTCTTGCTACATGTACAGTGCAGTTTTAAGAAGACAATGTTTAGTCTTCCACCTTAAAAATCTGGGTAAAGAACCAAAAAATAGAGCCAGGTACAGTGGCTCATGCCTATAATCCCAGCACTTTGGGAGGCCAAGTTGGGTGAACTGCTTGAGGTCTGGAGTTCAAGACCAGCCTGAGCTATATGGTGAAACACCGCCTCTATTAAAAAAAAAAAAAAAAAAAAAAAAAAAAAAGAGCTTATTGAGGTCTTAAGTGCAAGTAAAACAAACTACTTGGTAGTTTTAACTAAGCAGACACCTCTTGTAGTTTTCTATGTTTAAGAGGTGAGAGGGAAGTGCCAGGATTTGGAAATAATATTATCATTTATTGATTGCTTACTACATAGCAGGTATTAAACTAAGATGACAGCCTCCTTTAATCTTCAACAAGTGTAGCAGGTAGAAACTTTTGCTATCTCTATTTTATGGATGAGAAAAGTGATTCCGTAATTTGCCAAAGAACATAGCTTTGGTACGTCAACCCAGGACTGTCCAACTCTGAAGCCCACGCTATTTGCTAATATATTACATTCTTGCCGGGCGCGGCGGCTCAAGCCTGTAATCCCAGCACTTTGGGAGGCCGAGGCGGGTGGATCACGAGGTCAAGCGATCGAGACCATCCCGGTCAACATGGTGAAACCCCGTCTCTACTAAAAATATAAAAAATTAGCTGGGCACGGTGGCACGTGCCTGTAATCCCAGCTACTAGGGAGGCTGAGGCAGGAGAATTGCCTGAACCCAGGAGGCGGAGGTTGCGGTGAGCCGAGATCGCGCCATTGCACTCCAGCCTGGGTAACAAGAGCGAAACTCCGCCTCAAAATAAATAAATAAATAAATAAATAAATAAATAAAATATATATATATTACCTTCTTCTAGTAATCAGAAATGCGCACAGAGCGTCTATGCATCAGGGAGGACACCATGATTCACACTGTTCATTAAAAGGATCACTGGGAAATGGGTTGAACACCTTGAAGGGTACAGTGTGCCCCGTCTGAGGCCTCCAGTCTGCAGGGCACTGTCACGTCGGGTTCTTTCCCCGGGTCTAGAATGGGCAGGCACTGGCTCACGGCCACACAGTCAAGACCCCAGGGTTCGTCGGCCTCGGGCTCCGGTCACCCTCGGGTAGAAGGCGGCCCAAGGCTGGGGACCGAGGTCTTTCCAACCGTGCCACAGAGGACAGGTCGCAGACGCCGGGGCTGCGGAGGACGGAGGCAGTCACCGCAGCCGCCACCTGCCCTGCCCTGCTCTACCGGAGCGGCCCCCTCCCCACGCCCCAACCCGAAACCCCTCACGTACCGCGCGAGCCGTTTGGTCGCCATTCCCAACACTCCTTGCTCTTCCAAGTCCAACTGCCGGAAGTGGCTCGACCTCTACTTCCGGTCCGTTCAAACCGCCCGCGAGTCTGAGGAGACGGCGGTTGTTGGCCACTGCGGCTAAGGCGGGGCGGGCGTCTGCTCTCTGCCCGGCTTCTCTTTTGCGTTTCTCGGACTAGGGGCGTGGGGAGTGGTTTTGGGCTAGGAAGCCGCCGCTCGGCAGCACCTCCCTCCCCTTCTGCCAGCGGGCGGACGCCCGTCGTAGCCGTTGGAAACCGTTAGGAACCCGGTAAACGACGCGAACCGTAAAGCGGTTTGGGTTTCGAGCGGCGCGGGTGTCCAGTCCGCGGAACTGGGAGGTCGTCGGCACTCTGGCCTTTTTAGGGGGACGGGAAGAGTTGGGGAAGCTGCACTGAGAAGCGGATCCTAGGGAGATTGACAGCCGTCAAGCCCGTGCGGCTCTCCCTCTAGGAGGCGGCCGCGGGGGGAATCGGGGCGCCGGCGGTTCCCCGGCTCCCGCTCCTCTTTCTCCACAGCCATGGAGCGAGAGAGGGAAGGGGCCGAGGGACGCCCCAGGAAGGTCAGGAAGAGGAAGCAAGCCCCGAACAAGCTGGTCGGGGCGGCTGAGGCGATGAAAGCCGGTTGGGATCTCGAGGAGAGTCAGCCCGAGGCCAAGGTGAGCGACGGGGGGGGCCCGAGACGCTTTAAACGTAAGAAAGTATCAAGGCATAGTAGTAGCGTGTGCTTGTAACCCCAGGAACTTGGGAGGCCGAGGCGGGCGGATCACGAGGTCAAGAGATCGAGACCATCCTGGTCAACACGGTAAAACCCCGTCTCTACTAAAAATACAAAAAATTAGCTGGGCATGGTGGCGCGTGCCTGTAATCCCAGCTACTTGGGAGGCTGAGGCAGGAGAATTGCTGAGCCCAGGAGGCGAAGGTTGTGGTGAGCCGAGATCGCGCCATTGCACTCCAGCCTGGGCAACAAGAGCGAAACTCTGTCCCAAAAAAAAAAAAAAAAAAAAAAAGTAAAAAAGTATCAAGGCATAGTAGTGTGTGCTTGTAATCCCAGGGACTTGGGAGGCCAAGGCAGGAGGGTCACTTGAATCCAGGAGTTCAAGGCTGCAGTGAGCTGCGATCGTACCACTGCAGTCCAGGCTGAGTCCAGCAGAGCAGAGACCTTGTCTCAGACACAAAAAAGCCTGATGAGTGACCCAAGGGATGAATGAGTATATTTAGTTCTCAATAGATGGTATGGGTGATAGGGATAATCAGCCTTCTTACTCCCCTGCTGCATCAGTCCCCAACCTTTAGCACCAGGGACCAGTTTCTCCCTCGCCCAACTGCCGTCGGGGGCCCCGGACTTGGGCGGGCTCTCCGCCTTGGCCTCTCGGAACCTGCTCCCTGATCTTTAAAGTGGGAATGAGTTTGTAATACCGGTCATCTTCCTGACACAAGGCTGTCTTTGGATAGTGAGTCGGTTGGGCGAGATGGCTCACGACTGTAATCCCAGCCTTTGGGAGACTGAGGCGGGTGGATCGACTGAGGTCAGGAGTTCGAGACCAGCCTGGTCAATGTAGCGAAACCCCATCTTCACTAAAAACACACACTCAAAGCTAGCCTGGCGTGGTGGCGGGTGCCTGTAATCCCAGCTACTTGGGAGTCTGAGGGAGGAGAATCACTTGAACCCGAGAGGCGAAGGTTGCAGTGAGCCGAGACTGCACCACTCCAGCCTGGGCAACAAGAACAACATTTCTGTCTAAAAACAACAACAACAAAAAACCTGGGATAGCGGGCTGCGCGCAATGGCTCACTCCTATAATCCCAGCAGTTTGGGAGGCCAAGGCAGGAGTATCATTTGAAGCCAGGAATTCTAGACCAGCCTGGGCAACATAGGGAGACTTCATCTCTTTTAAAAACAAAAAACAAAAAAACTGGCATAGTGCCTGGCGCACAATAGGAATCTTTGTCCAACAAATAATATTTATTGCTGTTCTGAGTGCCAGGAGTTGTTCTATGTCCTAGCTATCCTGGGGCACAAAAACATGATTCCTTGCCATCGAGCAGTTTACATTCCAGTAGGGAAGGGGTCCCCAACCCCCTGTGCACAGACTGGTACCTGCCTGTCTGAAGTCCCTAACCCACTGTCCACAAACTGGTCTGTTAGGAACTGGGCTGCAGAGCAGCAGAAGGTGAATGGTGAGCGATCCAGCATTACCGCCTGAGCTTCCACCTCATCATTAGATTCTCATAAGAATGCCAACCCTATTGTGAGCCCTGTTGTGAACTGTGCATGAGAGGATCCTAGGTTGTGTGCTCCTCATGAGACTCTAATGATAAATGTAATGCACTCGAATCATCCTGAAACCATCCCCCACCCCCTTTTCCCGTTTGGTGGAAAAGTTGTCTATCATGAAACTGGTCCCTGGTGCTGTTGGGGACTGCTGCAGTAGGGGAGTAAGAAGGGAGATTGTAACTGACAACTGTTTTTAACTCCAAGAGCTAAACTATTGGCAGTTCAAGTTAAGTTAGAGTGAGGGTGTAGGTAGTGTCAGTGAGTGGCTCTTGTGCCCCCTGTAGACATTAGGCCTACACTAGGGCCATATGCTGTCAAGATTCAGGCACATGGCTTTTAACAAGCAAATCTTGTACCAAGGCACAGGCCATGCCATGCCATACTTTTAGGAAGTCTGAGGTGATAAATATTTCAAGGTCAGTGAAGTCCTATCATTCTCCCTTATCAGTAGTGGTAGATAGACATGTCCCAAACTTTTATAAATCCCAGTGATAAGGATGTGCTAATATTCAACAATCTTTAAAGTGAATTGTTGCTGACCCCCACAAAAGAACATGGAAAAAAGCATTGCTTTAGGCCTAGTTGTATAGCCACTCTGGCCAATTCCATTTCCTGTCCCTCTGTGGTTCTGACTGGAAACCCGTGTGGGGGAGGTATTAACCAGTTAATATAGAAATGATATCGATAGCTAATGCAATGTACTTGGAAAATCCAAATGAGGAACTGCATATCTTTAT